AGTCATTGGGTCCTTTCTGTGTCCAAGTAGATTAGAGAGAATGAGAGAAGAAGCCATACTCCCAGTTGATTGAGAAAGGTCCAATCAGGATTAGGAACTACTGATTACTTAACAAGTTAAACTCAAAAGCTCAGCTCTGAGTAGCCTGGATTGAGCCAGATTTTAGATCAGAAAGAACAAGCCAAGAGAATTCAGCCTCTGGCTAAGATGCGGAGCTGGCTGCTGAGTTTCAAGAGGATTCAACAAAAACACACTCACTGGAGGAATAAAGTGAGAGAACAGGGCAATCATCGTTGGGCCAAGTGTTTCCAACTGTGCTAACAGGCTGGCTCTGGAGGCAGTGGACAGGGTTCTGGAAGGCTGGGATTCCAGCCCAACTCCAAAGAGGAATGTGGATCACCTGAAGCAAACCTGCTGTTTAATAACTTGCAAATCAGTCTGTTTCTCTCAGCCTCAGTTTCTTTCATCTGTAAAACTAATAGGCATGGTAAGAATGTCCAAGAAATCCACCTGCAAATTTATACAGACCTTTCTTTTAAGCTCCAGACACATGCATACATTCAACTGCCTTCTAGACCTCTCTACCTTGATGTTCCTCAGGCATCTTAAACCCAATATCTCCCAAACCAAACCCAGCTCTGTTCCTCCACCTCTAATCACCTACGCCAGAAAGCCCAGGGGATCAGTTCCCTCCCTCTCCTTGCTCCTCAATACCTAATCAGTCACCAGGCCCTTCTTCTTCCCTGTCCTTGATACAGCTCTTATCAGTCCCTTCACTCTCTACTTCCTTGGTCACTGCCTCACCACCACTCACCTACAACCCTGCGACAAACACACCATCACTCCCCCAGCCTCCAGTTCTGACTCCCTCCAATAATCTCTGCAAATCACTGCTGGTGACATTTCTAGAAAAGATCTCATCATATCAATCCACTGCTCATTTATTTGGTCAACAAATATTAACTGAGCACCTACTAAGCATCAATCACTCTCCCAGGTGGAGATTCAACAGGGAACTGAACACAAAAAATTCTAGCCTCACGGAGATTATATTCACTGTTCAAACCCATTTGATGATTTCAGGAAGGAAAAAAAGTAACTGTGGTTAACTGACTTTGGGGGAGGGAGTCTAGACAATCCTCTAGATGTTTCATCATTCGTACTGCATGAAAAAATTATTTTTATGTACATATAATGTCATTGTTATTCACATTTTATTTGCAGCTCCTCTATAAAGCTTCCTTGACCTTTCCTCCTCCACGAAGCAAGAGATGCTCACTCCCTCCGGGTCCCATCATTGCAGTTACCACACTGGATTCTGGTTATTTACAAGTCTGTTTCTCCTGTTACCCTCTGAACCCCTTGAAGGCAGGCAGTTTATCTTATTAATCTTTGCATGCATGGCTGTTCAATAAATATTAGGAAAAACAATGATTCTATATAATTGAATACCTACATGCACAGATTCCTAACATATTTGTAAGGCCCAGGGGAATCTCTGGTGTTTCATATAATGCTTCAGGTTATGATTTGTGTTTCGTACTTAATTCAGATTAAAGGAAAGAAGTGTTCTCTCTGTTTTACCATCACCACCTGAGTGAGCAACTTGTTCTTGAGTGCCACCTACTGGCCAAACACAGTAAAGCTCTTAGGTTAGGCAAACAGCGTGAGTGCTAATCAATGCTGAAATGCTAAGCGATGATGGAAAATCATCAGTAAGTAGTTTGTACTAGTGATTTACAGACCTGATAATGCTAGGGAAATAAAATACAAAATTGGATAGACACTGTGATGGTAACTATAAAAAATATATTTTGAGGGCAAGGACTGGTAGTTATATTAGGGTATTGGAACTATGGGTGAATTTCTTCCTTTCTGTTACCAGGTTCTTTTAATATTGTGATATATAAGCAATGTTAATTAATTAAATTCTAAATTGCAGTCTGTTCAAGATATGAAAGTAGATTTAAAACACCACCATCACTTCTCCAGTTGCCAAGAAACAGAACGTGGGCCATTTGTGATTCCTCCATCTTCATTCCCTGGGTTAGGGCAAGTCCTGCCCCGTGTTTCTTCAACACAGCATTCCTGCCCATCCAGTGAAAGGGGCCACGGCCACTTCTCAAGTTGCCCGCCTTGGTGCTAAGCGAGTTATTCCAGTTCATCAAGATTTCTAGATCCATTCACTTATTCAGCAAACATTTGGTGTACACTTTCCTTTGTGTCAGGCACCCACTTGGGCTGGTTATTCACCAATTCCAAATATGAAAAAATCTTACTCATTTGGACAAACTGGGAGAAAACCAAGCCCGTTTACTGAAAAATCCCCAAATGATAGAATAGCAGGAGGAAAAACTCACCTATTCCTGCCAAGTATTTCATGAGAGCTATGAAATAGCTCATAGAGCTATGACTGAAAAACAGAGGTCTTTGGAGACGTATTTCAATGATATAGATAAAATACTTGGTAAATTAACACATCAATATATACGATGAGAGGGTCTGAAAACAATTTGCTCTTTTAAGCAGTTTACATTAGTCCTCCTCAACCCTGCCAATCCAATATTACAAATAGTTGCTTAAATTATTTTTAGTAGATCAAAAACATTAAACTTTAGTATGCTTTCTGCTAATTCACTACCAAAGTCTGAATCAGTATGGTGCAGGTGACAGTTTACTGCTGACACCAGTCCCCTGGTCTAGAACTTCATTGTTCCTGCTCTGGACAGCTCTGCCACTTGCCAGCTGTAGAACCTTCTTAGCATTACACTGCCTCGATGTGCCTGTTTCCTCACCTATACAATGGGAGTAGAAATAACACCTGGGCCTGGGATGTTCAGAGGATTAAAGAGATTAAGGTGGATAAAATGCTAAGCATAGGATGTGGCACATAGTAGATGCTCAATAAATCACTAAAATTACTTTACTCAAGATCTGTGCTCCTAGCCCTGAATGCTCGTGGTAGGTGCTTCCTCTTCTTAACACTCTTAACCTTTATAGTCTACATTTGCCACTTTGCCTTTTCATGTACTAACACTTACTTATATGTGTGTTTTGTCCCCAAAACTGTTAAGAGACCAGATCCCCATTCCTATTATAATACCTAGCATAATGTCTTAGACCCGGTAGAGCCAAGGAATTCACTTACCTGGTTGCCTGAAGCAGCCTTTTCTGCCTTGTGCATTTCAAAACTGTTAAGAGACCAGATCCCCATTCCTATTATAATACCTAGCATAATGTCTTAGACCCAGTAGAGCCAAGGAATTCACTTACCTGGTTGCCTGAAGCAGCCTTTTCTGCCTTGTGCATTTCAGGGAGATGTGGGGTGAGGAGGTGGAGGCAGGGGTGACCAGGCAGCATGGTTAACATGGGCAGTCAAGACACAAACGGTGGCAAGCTGACAACAAACATGTGGTCTTGGGGACTAAAGAGTTTGCTGGGAGCTGTTGCCTTGAGGAAGCCCTTTATCTGCAGATAGCCTAAGGTCATCTAGGGGGTTTCACCTCTGAAAGCACATCTCTGGGACGTAGAGGATGGGTGACTTGTTGTCACTTTTAGAGCTGAAGGCACAGCTCAACTGGAAGCTCTTTAAAAGAGAGTGAAACTCAGAGCCCAAATAGAGAGAGAAAGGGGAGGAGGTCCCAATGCTACAACTAAGCCCTGAAGACTCTCTGTCATACTGGTAGCTTGATTACCAATCCCAAAGTGGGTGCAAGAGACTATACCTAGCCTTCTCCAAGGCGAGAACTGTCCTCTAAGGCAGGTAACTTTTCCTCTAGCTGCTGTCTTAACACATCTTCCCAATTTCTTATGTCCTGGGCATATTCGTCATGAAGCACACATATTTAGAGAAAAATTAACATAATAGATCTAGTTAGAGCTTTTGAACACTACCCTAAAAGGATTATGCTTTTTCCGTTTTTCCACTGAAATACTCAAATACAAGCTGACTGACTTTTCCTGCAAGGTAGATAGCACATGCCCAAGTGACTGTAACACTTGTCAAAAAAATCCATTTTGCTCACTGTGAACTTACCAACCCAAATAGAGCAGACAGTAGTTGTGCCTTTCCTCCTCATCATATTTCAAAGAATGAGATACAGATATGATGGTGAAAAGGTAAAGAAATGCTCCTGCCAGAACAAGCTCATTTCCCAAATGTATTGGCTGCACCAGGCACTATGGAGATTGTGCTTACTGGCAATTATAAAAACACAGGAGTATAATTCAGGTATATGGTCACAGATGTAAGGGCCATAAGAGGCAATACCAGGAGACTGGGTATAGAAAGGCTCAGTTAGGGCCTATCTATAAGAGCTAAAATGTTTGCTATTTGCCATGTATGTAATGGGGTGGGCTGGGGGGGAAGCACTGAGCATTTTTGAGTGGGATAATAACTGTATAGCAAAGTATTGAGAAAGGCAATCTGCTGGAGGATCCACTATGGTTTGAGGGAGGGGAAAGGAGGCTGTGGCTGCCCCTTGGAGTTAGGAGGCATGCATGCACCACGGAAACAGAGGCCAAGAACTAATGTGTGGTACAAATCCACATTTCTGAGAGAGTCAGGGAAGCCAGCCCGACCTGGACCCCACCTTCCCCCATGACAGGTCCAGTCTGAGGACTCAACCCCACCAACCCTCCCCCATCTTTATCCCAGATGTAGCCTGTCTCAGTCACAAACACACCTCCAGCTGAGAACAAGTAAATGAGAACTTTGATTCTAAACTTAGACAAATAAACTCATATTCTAAAGGTAAAGATGTCAACATGGGGAAAGGCTTATCAAAGGTAATATGCATCATCACAAAATTAATTTTAAAGAGGAAAGAACAGAAGAATAATTTGAAATCTATAATTAGACTGCTACGTATCAAACTGCACATCATTCAAAGCCACTAGACTGATACAAATATAACACACCTTGGGTCTAAAACACAAGCCTCTCTCTTTCCATTTCTGACATATTAAGCCATGTAAACAAAGTGGAGTGGCAACTTACTATCCAGGAGGCTCTGAAGAAATTTCCGGAGTGGGGCTGACTGCTGAGCTCTGTAAATGTCAAAACAAAAAAAAAAAAAGAAAAAAAAGAATGTAGATGATTTATTTTGACTCAGATGTTTCAAGCTAAGGGGAAAAAGAGAGAAGTCATTTCTTTTCCTAATTTAGAGAAGGATGGCAGGGAATCTGGATGGAAAGGTTTTCAGTGCTGGTGGAGGGCGGTGCTGTTCCTTTGGGAAGAGAATTTCTGGGCAGGTGGGCTCCTACTCTTTAGTCTTTTGCCTTCCAGTAGATGCAGCCAAGGCTGTCTGGGTGGATCAGGAGATGGCCTCTGGCTCAGGTGTATCTTCAGCCCCAGACCCAACACTGGGCCAACATGCACTGTGACACAGATAGCACACCCTTCACCAGCTTCCCCCCAGCCCTGAGGCCCCTGCTGAGCCCCCTGCAGACCCCTTCATGCGCCCCAAATGCCGCATCCAGAGAAAGGCTTACCCAACACTTTAAGCACAGAATATAGAAAAGTGCATTTTAAAAGACCACATACTGTATGTATTTAGATAATTTGTTTACGCCTGCAGACACAGAAGTGTGGAAATGGGGAGAAATGCAATTTCACAAAATCTATTGATGACCACTTCAGCACGAATGGGGGAATGCTTTATAACATTACAGGCCGCCACACAAAAGGAAGACAACAACCAAGAGCTACATGCAGAGAAAAAGCAACATTATGTAGTTTGAGATTTCTGTTGTCTTGGAGAGAAGAATGCAAAGGGTTCAGTAGGAGGGTACTTCAAAAAGTTCATAGACAGATTCATTCTATTTATTCTATTTTTCCACAAACTTTTTAAAGTACTCTCGCATGTTTGTTTTTAAAAATAATGTGGTAGCTGAAAAAAATCAATACAAAAGTTAACTTATAATGGTACACCTATTTTTAATAATGACCGTTTCTCTAATAATGACCATTTTAAAGAAAACAAGCTATCTAGGGAACAGACATTCGGGGAAAGGAGAGAAAGAGGAAGGAAGAGATTATGAAAGAGGGAAGGCAACCCTCATCAGGGGCTCACCCACCTGGCTCTCTGCCTACTGAAACATCCACCCTCAACCTGTTGGGATGGGGGTCCTTTCAATTCTGGGGGCACCTCTGCCCCAGGATGAGGACTCTACCCCACCCACATTATTCTTCAGAGAGGGCACCTGCTCTTAACTCCATGTTCATCCTCCAGCCCTTTCAGTTACACTGGTCTTGCCCATCTGTCCTCTTTGAGTCTCCTATGTCTTGGCATCTGTCCCATTCTGGTCTTCTACCCTCGAAGACCTTGTCCTGGTCTCCATCTTGGAAAAATTCTTGCATGACCCTGCAGAGTCCTGTGGGAACATACCCTTTCTTCCTTCCCTCCCTCTCTCCCTTCCTCCCTTGATCACATCTTCTCAATCAGTGCTGCACCCCTGCATAACCACCTGATTCTCTGCCACACATTCAAACTCCCATCAGCTACTCACCCAGCAACCTCCAAAGTCTTTAGAAACCCTTAGTTTCCAAATCCATTGACCTTTCCTTGGAGTCCATCTTTCTAGACTTCTCTGGAGAACTAGGCAGTTCTCATACTTTCTCCTCTGGCTTCATCATTTGCTTTTCTCCCTACCTCTCTGAACTATTCTTTCTCCAACGCCCCCTTCTCCTTTCCCAGGTCATCTAACATCCCAACGGGCAGCTGTTGAGCTCTCAGCCTTTCTATCAACATGATTCCCTTTTCAATCTTTCATCTACATCTGCTCCCAAGACTTCAAGCACCACCCTTCTTCAGGTGACTCCAATCGAATTCTTAAGCCCTTGCTTCTTTCATGAGACCTCGTCCTGTACTTCCACTGTCTACTATATGACACCCAAACAACAGTGCAAATGTCAATTACCTAAAACTAACTCCCTCATCTTGCCTCTGCACTGATTTTCTTCCCAGCTTTCTTACATGATGTGCTTATGTCCTCATTCTTTCCAGCTGCCTGGCTAAAACCCTAAAGTTGTCTTTGTCTCCATCCCACACACCAATTCTTTTTTCTTTGCACCAATTAGTCAAAATGCCCCACTGTAATTTCCCTGGTGATCTCTCTCACAGCTACCTTCCTCTCATGCTGGTGCACCACAGCATGGGTTCTCACTGCTACACGCCCAGAACACTACCACAGCCCCTGTGCCCCCTGAGACTCCAGTTTCCTTCTCCCTCCAATCCAACCGCTCTAGAGCAATGACACTAATCTTCCTAAAACACTTTCCAAATCACATCACTGGTCTGAGGGCAAAACCCATCTACTCCTTAGCCATATTTTCTGAGCCTCTACAATCCAAGGTCAACCCTTTTTCCCAAACCTACCTCCGACTATTCCCACTACCAATTTCCTATTCCAGCTTAACTCGTCTTCCTTAAATACACCTTAAACATGTGTACTTCAGTGCTCTTTCTAATGCTTTCATGATGCCTCAAACGGATACCCCCCACTTTTACCAGGTATCTAAGTTCCATCCACCCTTTAAGATCTTGGCTAACTCCTTTGAGAAGTATTTCCTGATCTTCCACAAGATCTCGCTCCTGGCACTTAGAGCCCTGACCATTCACTCAGCTCTTAGCAGGCAGTGCTGTGTACACTATTAGAGATCTTTATGAGTGTGACTGACCTGTTAAGCTCCTGAAGACAAAGTCCCTTTTGGTACTGATTTAGAACCAGCATGTCTCATACACATTCAGGGCTAATGGGCACCAATTAACTGAGCCAACATGAAGATGATCCATTTGTGCACCAGATGCTCTTTGTGCCCACCCTGTCCCAGGCAGAGTTCCAGGTACCGGAAGCAGGCTCTTCCCTCAGGGATGCTGCAGTTAGTTCAGTGGTTCTCTAGCGGCCTCCCATCCTTGGGCTTATTATTTTGGACTACTTTGAAAAGTACCCCCCTGATTTGTTTTGATCAAACGTGCTATCTTGGATCTCCCAAACTGCATCCCAGCCCATTCTTGGACTTACCTGCAGACACGGTTCTTACTCCAGAACTAGGTATGATCACTCCCTATGTTGGATCTTCAATTTGACAGTGGCTATACCTGATTCCAGTCTCCAGCCCGGTTGGAAACTCAGCCCCCTACTCCCTATTGCTGCCTCTTCACCCATCTATCCCAAGCGTGTGCATGGTGACCCACCTCTGTGCACCCTTCAGGTTCTGAAGGAGGATCCATGCCTGCCCCAAAACTCTTCTGCCTCCCTCATCCTCCAGTGACTCTGGATTCACAAATCCTAACTCCCTTGATTGGCCTGCAGCACCTTGGCTTCTGACTCTCATATCTCAGCCCCCCTTGGCTGCTGTCACAACCCCCAGTTTCTGCACCCCTTCCCTGGTTGAGTCTCTGGCACTCACATGACATTTTGCACCCAAGTTATTCATGCTGGTGCTCTGACCCTCCTCATCTTAGTTCTGCTTAAGGACAACACGGATCCGTTAGCAGCTTCCACTTTTCCTGCTATGGTTTGTGGACCCTCCTATCCTCTTTAGCAATGTCCACATTCCTTTTTTATTGTCTTAAAGATATCCTTTCCTTGTAAGAATCTCTTTTGTTTATCAGGAAGCCCTAGGGACAATTCTGTGAACAATGAACATTTATTGTTTTTTTTTGCCCTCGGAACCACATTTACCTTGGACTCTCTCTCTCACCCTAACCCTAACCCTAACCACATCCTGACACAGCTCCAATATCGATGCAGGTTCAGTTTCAAACACTCGTTTGTGTTGAGGCTGTCTGACCTCTGGAGTGCATTTTGTGAACATTTATTGTTTTTTTTGCCCTCGGAACCACATTTACCTTGGACTCTCTCTCTCACCCTAACCCTAACCCTAACCACATCCTGACACAGCTCCAATATCAATGCAGGTTCAGTTTCAAACACTCGTTTGTGTTGAGGCTGTCTGACCTCTGGAGTGCATTTTTTCATTGAGAACTTTCTGAGCTTTAGAATTATAACTACTACTACTACTCTGACAGTGCCATGCACAGAACAGACACTCAAATCACTGCTGCTGTGTTTTTTGAAAACGGTCTCTGAGGTTGGTATCTCCCAGAGCTGGAAAAAAGACAAGGAAATTGCCAAAAATAGCTCCCTGAAAATTCAGAGAAGGTACACAGAGGCAGAGGAAGAGAACTTAAAGTGTTGCCCCCTGAAAGCAGAGGAAGAGAATTTGGTAAAGGGAGCAGTTTAAATCACCAGTCAACTCTGAATATATTTGAAAAATCTCCTGTAAGGAAGATGCCAAGCTCAAAGAAATCCAAGCAAAATTAACTGGGGTGAAGGTGGGGTGGGGAAAGGAATCTAAAACAGGAGTCCAAAAGCCATGCAGCTTAAAATAACCAGCACAACCATCCGTCACCTCAACTACATCAACAACCACAGAACAAAGAAGAAAACAAAGCAGAGCTTGAAAAGGAACTGATGGCATGAGAAAAACCTGGAAATACCTGTGGCAGGTTTGCACTGGGTGCTTTATTAATCGTCTCCATTTTTTCTAAATCTGCCTCTAACTCTGTCTGGCAAGGGTTGAGATCTTTTTCTAGATTAGTCTGGTTCAAGAAAGAAAAGACGGGAAAGAATGTTTTAGTTTAGAGGAAAGGGACAGAGAATGAAAGGTTAAGTTTGAAAAAAAAATGAATTTTTTTTTTAGTGTTATACTTTAATAAGGCCAGATGGCATGACTAATACACAAGAGCTCACTAGAAATTAGAGACATAAAAACAGAGAATGCAATATTAGGCATATAAAAAGAAATCCTCAAGTAATCAGTTTTAAAAATCTATTCTACTTGCTAAACAGAACTATAAATACCACAAACACCTACCTTTAAGGAAATACTTATTTTCTCTCTCTTTTCAGAGTATGGTGACTGTGACAAATACTATATGTCAGAAGAATAAGTAACTGCTTTAAAAACCTCTAAACATTAGTATATGTCTTAGAGACTGTTAAATAGTTTTATTACCAAGCCAAAAAAAAGTTATCACCAATTTTTTTTTTTTAAGTGATTTAAGAAAAGAAAACCCACAACACACTCACACTAACCAAAGCTAGAGAGCACACACACAGTTCAACGGAGGAGGCACAGCAGAATTACCTTTCTATCCTCTCTAGGAAGGATAGAGCAGTCTCCAGGAGTATAATCCCATATCTTTTTGGGAGGCTGACGGGAAGCAGAGGAGGAAATGAAGAAATGAGCATAAAGACATAAAGACAAACATGGAGACTGGTTCAAACAAAGAGGGGCACACCAGGAGAACCTACCAACACAGAAAGGTGAACTCAAAAGCAAGGGAGTGGGCACTCTGCCTAAGGACACAAGGCCACCTGTCCCAAAGAGGGACCTGTAGGACTTGGGAGCTGGAGCCACTAACCAGGAAGTTTGTTTCTATGTCTATGTCTCAAGAACAAACCATCACTGCATTCTAAATATTGAAAAACTAAAAAAAAAAGGGGGGGGGGGGGGGAAGAGCACTAACATGAATTTGAACAGAAATTGAAACTTTTAAATTCCTCATTGTTCTTCTTAAACTCATATCAACACTGGAGATTCTATATGTTTGAAGCAGTCTTCCACACAGTAAAATTCTGTGTGTGTTAACAAATGTGTGAATTAAGAGGTTTGGCCAGTGGAGGGTAGGCTGAAGTAAATGTGCTTCCTGTGATTTGTGGCAATGAAATCCACGTATAAAATGGGTGTTAAATAGTGCACGAGACAATTTTACACTACTGTTAAAACCTCATTTTTCAGTTTAACTAGACTTTGATAATACTGCTAGTGGTAGAGATACACCTTCTATCCCCCTTAGAGAACACAGTTTAAACTTAGAATTTAAACAGTAGACTATAAGTTTACTTTCTTTCTCTTTCAACCCTTCATGTTAGAATTAGAGCTGCATTCCTCAGACAGAAAGCTGCCAAGAGACTGTTGTAAGTCTAGCAAGGGAGGGGTTCTAAGGGTAGGACAACAGAAGTTACAAGGCACTTCTAACTTTGGAATCTCTCTCCCAACGAGTGGACCTCCTTGTTTCTGCCTATTTATATTTGAAACTTCTTATATAATGACATCTGGAGAGATGAGAAACAGGAGATCATTAATAGTTCCTAAAACTGCGCATATTTCATTATAACCAATTCTATGGAAGCATTCAACTCGGCTCATGTTGTGAAATTTTGCCTTGAGGTTACAAATAGGAATCATGTCAATTTCTGAAGAAATTAGAGGAAAAACAGAAGAAAAGGCTAATATGTAATGAATCTGCAAATGAAAAGTAATCTGATTCTAAGGTACATTCGCCATTGACAGCAACAGGTCAGTAACGTCACCTCTGTATATTTTGCATTTTTTTAAAAGTAAGGGGTATTAGCAATTATCATTCATCTTTAGCACTTAATATACTTGGATTGGTCATCTGAGGAAGTAGACTTTTTAATGTCACTATGGTACCTCTACTTATTTCTTTACTGAAAAACAAAAACAAAAACAAAAACCCAAGAGAGCATTTACAAATTTAATTGGTTTTAAATAATTCTCCCGGTCCCTTAAAAGTCTTGAGTTATTTGCTATCCTACAACAACTTATTAGAGCTGAAAGGCATTACAGTCAGGATCTTGCTGAAATTTCAGTTCATTTTTGGTGGATATAAGTGAAAGGGTTAAGAAAGAAGTTGAGGGTATGGCTTGTGTCAAAATTCTACACAAGGGAAGTGGTTCCGAGTTGGTGTGGGGGGAGAAACGATGACCCACATGATTTGGTACAAGTTTTAATTTCATTCTGCTTCTAAATGGCTGAAAAATTTTCCAAGACAACTTCCATGGTTTACGTCATTTTATTTATGTCTCTTATTCTTTTGTGGTCTAGAGTGGTAGGGACAGGAAGAGAGGTAAAGAAAGGAAAAAATTTCTTCCTATCACACCTTCTCTTTTAAAGTAAGACCTACGAAAAACGGAGCAGTCCCATTGGAAGGACTCTGAGGTTTGTACAAGGAATGCACATGGCTTTGGAGTAAACACCATTTTGGAAAAGCAGCTCTAAGTCTTTAAGAGTCAGTTAAAGCAATGGGATAGGGATTCAAGTTATAGGAAGGCTCCAACATACAAATGCACTGTGCTCTCAGCATTGCTTGAAGTGGTTGTGTGGTACTCAGACCACAGTTTCAGTTAGAAATGGTGTTAATTTACCAAGCTATTCATAGAGCCTATTTAATGTATGCTGGGACTGAAATACTGTCTATTGTCAACAAAAAATTGTTTGCAATGATAGATTTAGTAAAGCAAACCAATCATAACTAATTAGAAAAAAAAGTTGCATAATTTTTCCTAAAAGTTAATATTTCAGATAAAACTAGTTATTTGGCAGATAAGGAGACAGCTAGAAATTTGTGGATTCTGCGATTTCAAAAGTCAATGGCATAAACTCTTTATTAAACACAATTTAAAATGAATAGCTTTTGCTTTCCTTGATAAAAGTGTAGCATTATCGTTGCATATACCAATCCTGGTCTTTTGGGGGGTGAAGGGGAAAACTACATATATCAAAACTACATGAACAAATTGGGCAGGTTTTAAGAAAAAGAAGAAAAGGAAAAGGTTAGGATACTGTTAAATATTTTCACGTGGAAAAGACTGCCTGAGGTAGACTTAACTTATGTCTGAATGGTGAACAGCAGAAAAAGAAAGGAGAGAAAGGTGAAGAAATGAGAAAGCTTCGGGGAGGAGAGAAGAAAGGAGGGTACAGACTTTGGGTTAGATGCTTCCACTGGCCACTAGGTGGCGGTGCTCATCCAGGACAGCTCTGCCTGTACTGGGAGACAGGGTCTAGGAAGGGATCACCTCTTCCTTCAAGCAGGATGTCTGCAAGTTAGGTGCTCCTAACTCAGAAGATGCCTGAACTTTCAAACAAAGCTCAGAATCACTCAGGAAAATCAGCAATTTCTCTTCGTCTTAATAAAAAATATACATCATGGATTTTAACATTTTATTGAGCTATAAAGTTAATTCCTCTCTGCAAATAAAACTGTCTTCCCAAACCACAGTAATTTAAAAAGCTGGATTCAATGCTTAAAGTCTCATATGAACATCTAATAAAATGTTTTGTTTTTATACACTTAACTCCCCCACCTGTAAATTCTTTCTGCAGCAGTAATAATTAAGACTTTAAAGTAGCTATAGTTTAAAGTCAGTTTCCAATCATCTCTAGTGAAAGGATGAATTATATTCTCCCTTCCGTTTGATTCTCCTTTGGGTGCAGGGCTAACAAAATCCTTCTTTAAGTACCAAAATTCAATTTGTACCAAAGCCAACTCAGATATGCCATGGGGAAGCTGCAGAACATTAAGCTGAACACAAAATTTGCTAGAATTCTTAACTCCCATTTCAAATTTTGTGAAATATTCTAACACAAAAATCATTCCCTATAAGTTACCATAATGGGGTTGCATCTGTGGGTCACACCTGCACAGAAGGATGACCCTTTTGGGCCTGCTCTGGCATTTCCCTTGTATATGTGCTTTTAAAAATGCTCTTTAGGGCCGGCCCGGTGGCGCACTGGATAGTGCGCCGCTTGGGAAGCGCAGCGGCGCTCCCGCCCGAGGGTTCGGATCCCACATACAGACCGGTTCCCGCTCACTGGCTGAGCGAGGCGCGGGAGCAGCACCGAGGGTTGCAATCCCGTTGCCGGTCCCCGGTCCGGTACGGGGGCAACACTGAGGGTTGTGATCCGTTGCCGGACACGGAAAAAAGACAAAAGTGCTCTTTAAAGCAGTGACAGTGCTGGTCTTCTCAGTATATGATGCATTCTCCTTGACCTCGGCATGCCATAAGGCCTTTGGTCAAGGAAGTGAGCCAATGACTGAATAATGCCATCCATAAGGCATGTAGTATTTGTTGTAAGTGGCGGGAAGTCCTAAGACAATCAATGATTTAGTCATGCCTCTCTGGGATATTCTGGCAAGATATACTTCCAGAGCTGTCTTTTCTTGAAGTAAACCAAAGAAAAGCTTACAGGTTTGTTGTGAGAAGAGACAATCCCACCATTGACAACCAACATGACTGCTCCCCACTTCCTGAATTCCTTACAAATAGATCTGATTCTGTAGCAGCAACAGTGCATCAACAGCGTTATTTAAAAAGGAGTATAACCACTGAAGCTATTAAACTTACCGGTTTCCCAAACTCCAATTCCGAAAAGAATTTATACCAAGGTTCATTCTTTAAATCTATCTCTTCTGGGCTTATATCCCGACTCTATAAGGGTTGGTGATAGGGAAATGGAAGAAAGAGAAGGATAACATTATGCAAAGATTACATAGGAACAGGCCAGTAGAGATGCAGTGGTTTCCAGATATATATAGCAACTGCATTCAACAGCAGCAATCATCCCTTTTAAATGACATCAGCAAAAACAGGGAGTTCAAACAGGAAGGAAAGGATAGGTTTACAAAAACAGGGAAACTGAGGCAGGGAGCAGTGAGTGAATCGTTCTCAGTCCTAAGGCAGATGGCAACTGGGCCATAGATGGAGAACTCTGCACCACACTGCAGGTCTTCACAACAAATCTGAATGTGGGCATGACAGTATTCCTCAATAACTGTCAGTATTGTGAGGAAAAAGAAAGCCCTTATTTCCTCTTCTCAAAGAGTTATTAGTTACGAGCAAGTAAACTGGTGAGCATACCAAACATTTAGCCACCTATGCCAGCTGAATAGAGCAAAGACTTTCTATGGGCTAGTACAGTTTTAGTATTTGCAAGGCTGCCTTAAGTTTTTCAAAATAAATGCAAATATTGACACTTTATAAAAGCCAATTGGTTAATACTGCATCTTTAATGGCACATGAATAGGTGAGAAACCATGTAAAGTAAAAGACGATATAAGTAAAAACAGAGGACACAAGTAAAAAAACACAATTGACAAGCACCCATCCAGGGGTGAATACAGACAATGTACTTTGTGTTGTAACAAATAAATGTTAAAGAACTGGAAAAAATAAAGTGGGGAAAAGCTGGACAAGATAGATAACAGGGAAAAAACTTCTGGGTTATGTTACAAAAATAAGTTAGATTTTTCACTTCGTATGACTCTAAGAGGTGTCACATAGACTGATAATTTGATTCCATGGGATTTAATATTTAATCAAATATGTATAAAGTTCTGGTACCTTACTCTGTGTTTCTGGAAATAATTAGTTGAAAAATGAATGCCTGGAAAGCAAAATCAGGTTTTCCCTTTAATAAACTTTAAATACGTTCACATCAGACAAAAGTATTTGAGGTTCATAGATTAAATTCATATATGTATATGTTTTTAAAAACGCTGATAATCACACACACACAAAAAGAGATATGGTGATTTTCTACAATAATCTGAAATATAAAATGTACACATTTTCTACTGAGAATGAAAACATCACACAAGAAACTTCACTACTACTGGGCTACAATACATGAGGAAGGGGGCTGCCCAGTTCCACATACAGGTCGTCATTGCTACTCCTTCATAAAGTGTTCTTCCTGGATGTACCTTTCTTAACAATGCAGTTAACAGACCTTTTGCAGCATGTAGAAATGGCTGCAAACCTTCATAGTGATCTTTACTTCTATGAGCCTTATAAAAATCTTTACTATTACTTCCACTTTCACTACAGGTAGAGTAAGATATGGCTTTATGGAAGAGAACCTTTTTTTTAAAAAAAAAAAAAAAGATGACCAGTAAGGGGATCTTAACCCTTGACTTGGTGTTGTCAGCACCACGCTCTCCCAAGAGAGCTAACCAGCCACCCCTATATAGGGATCCGAACCCGTGGCCTTGGTGTTAGCACCACACACTCCCAAGTTAGCCACAGGCCGGCCTAAAGAACCTTTCTTTAACTGAAATTAAATCAAGTTGAATTCAGAAGGAAATATTACTGAAACACCAGGTACGTCCTCTTGCACACAGATAAAACCTCCTCTGATTGTCTTTAGGGACTCAGGGCTTAAATCTTGAAGGGGAAGGCTTGCCTCACCACAGTAAATCGATTCTGTATTTATTCAGTGAAATGAGGCATAATACCTACGAGAATAAAACTATTCAGGAGTGACAGTTTATAGTCACTGGGACATTCTAGATTCTAATGTGATGAGGTTTCATGAAACCTATTTTATGTTTATTATTTTTACAAACACTATTTATAAACTGCTCTCTGGGAATGGGTTAGCCTCCCCCCCCGCCCCCGTAAATAAAATGTACCAACTCTTTCAGGAAGCTGTCTGAAAGTTTTGGTACTCACAGTCCTGAAAGAATTGATCCATTTTATTCCTGAAGGTTGGCTACAGATTGTTTTACTGCCAAGGTTAATGCTGTGCCAAGACTAGCATCAGGAGGTATGTCAGACCGACTGGGTCCAGAGCAGCCAGACTCAGTCCTTTGAGCTGCCCAGAGATAAGGGTAAAAAGGTGACACCACACAGCAGTAACAATTGCATTTGACTTTGCTATGTATAACTCAGCTGTAGATCCAATCATGGAAGAGACCAACAGAAAATGTCCTTCTGGATGCAGAGCAGGAACCCTCTCCCAGCAGGCACAGCAAATTTCATAATGCCAGACTAAGTTCTTTGGTACCATGGTCTATTCTTTTCCCAGCTTGATAAAAACCTGGAAGGAGGTGACTCGCCAGGAAAATGCCAGCTTCTCCTCAAAGACAGCTTTGCTGCTTGAATGGGAATCAGAGATCAGCTTCACGTTTCAATTAAATAAATCATCTGGATGTGGTATGTTCATTTGCACAGCACTTAACAATGTTTATAAGTCTTGTACACACATTATCACAACTGACTCACTCAGTTTTCAGTAAGGTTGGTGGGCCAGATGATATTTCTTTAACAGATGAAAACACTGAGGTTCAGAAAGGTTAAATGACTTGCCTCAAGACATAAAGCCGAGTCAGAACCCAGAACTCAGATCTTCCAACTCCTAGTCCAGTGCTCCTTACACTACACTACACTATATTCCGTTTCTCATACTCTGCATGAGAGGGGGGGCAGACTCACTAAGTTTGCAAATGATAACAAGCTAAAGCAGGGCTAAGTGACTAACTTACAAAGCCAGGGAAGGAACTCAGAATGATCGTGAATTGAGAAGACACCAAGCTGGGTAAAGCCCCTTGTTTTACATTTCCAAATATATGAGGATACTTCAAAAAACTTACAGAAAAATAGAATTGAAAGATAATATATATCTTTCCATGAACTTTTTGAAGTACCCTCATATACTGTGTCTTTACTGTTTTGATGTCTGTCCTTCCCACTATCCACTTAATGGGAGCAGGAACACCCAACATCTAATCCAGGGCTTGAAGCATAAAAGTTACTTTATATACATATTTGTTACATACATATATTTGTTGAATTGAGCTGAAGTTCTACAAGGGATTTTAGAGGAAAGTATAAAGAAACAAGGCCTGAAAAGGGCCATTTCTGACAAAGCACGGACTGACCAATAAATCTCCAATTTCAAGGCCAAGAGAAAAAATGGACTCCTGCTATGATAAGAGGGGAGGCCAAGTAGGTAAGCAGACCTGCACATGAGTCTGTCAAGTAAGTGAACAGGTCACCAAGGCTGTAAATCTTCTGTAGGGGATTTAGAAGGTGTACAGTGTCATCTGTCTGGGATGTTTGAGTATACTCTAAGGGCAAGATGAACTCCAGACTTTATAGTCTACCATTCAACCCCTCCTGCTAACAACGTGTAGATATGCCTGCAAGGTCACAATTTAAATTCTAGAGTTAAGCAGACATAAGTACCTCAAATAGAAGAACAAAACATGGGGTTTTTTTTGTTTTTTGCTTTTTCCAAAATGAGGTAGTACGTATCTGAGAGCAAACTTAGATTCTACATCTGTCCCTATTTAGTATACTTACCCATAGCTAAACAACAGCAAAAACGTGTGTGGGCAGGTTGGGGAGGGGAGAGGATGCTCGAATTCTGGCAAATCAGATACTGGACACCAAAAGGAAAGACTCACACAATGAAAATCACATTCCAACTTTTCTGTTCATGTGATAAAAATAACAGAGAAAAAAATTCAAACATAAAAGACTAATTCAACGACTATAAAGGATAGACTGTCAAAAGATTAAGATTTGACTGAAATTTCCCTCTAAAATTAAAAACTCTTTGGAAGAATAAAGCTAAATCAAACCACTAGACAGTTGTGTTCCTCCCTGGCCCGCCTTTGGAGTTTATGTTCCATTAGTGGATTGGCCTGAGGCTTAGTATAACACAGAGGAGCTTCTTGTGTAGAAGCACCCAGACGGTGCTTTGCAATCCACGTGTATAGTCACAAGCACTCCCCAAAGAAAGCCCCTATGGAGTCATACTTTTCAGGGTTTATAAATACAAATAATACCAAGAACTATGGTATGAAAGATTCTTGTAACCACTGTGGTGCGAATAAGAAAAACAAAACTATGTTGGCATTTTTCCTAGTTTTGAGTAGTGGTTAAATTACTCGGAACCAAGGAAAGGAGGTGAAAACAAAGAAGAAATTAAGAAAAAGGGCAAGCCTTCAATAAGAGCCATGACAATCTACGAACGGTAACATTGCCAAAGCCAAGATACCCAGTGGGTTCCAGAGTCCCTGAAATCACTTAAATGTATTAATTATGGTGGGTCCCAAGCTCATTATTGAAGTGTTAGGAATATATCAAAGGGTACGAATTTCTCTCCAGGAACACCTGGATGGAAGGGTATCTTCCACATATACCGTGTACAAGGTACCTTCTAACCCTCCAATGAAGGCGGGAGCCAGAGTCAAAATTCTCTGCTCCTCTCTGAACTTTGTTTAAAATAACTGTGGTACACAGTAAATGCTTAAGAATGACAGCTCTAAAAGCATTTCTGTGAACTATTGACCTTTTTTCCTAATTAAAATTACTTATCCCTCTGTGCTTTTAAAGATGTCACAGTTTTATTTTAGTAAAAGTCAAATCAATTATTCCTTAAAATCCAGTAGAACAGAAGAGGCGGAGGGAAAATAATGTGAACCCACATTTCAGAGGCCTACTTATTCCGTACATGGTGTGGTAACAGCATGTTAATAAAAACCAATCCCAGCATGATAATTCCATCCCACTGTCACCACTGGAGGGCTGCACCATTTATGGAGCTTTGGAGAATCCCTTTCACCACAACCAGAATTCTGAACCAGCTTTTTCTAATGAAGGGTGAATAAAAGGAAGTGTGATTGGCAGATACGAAACTAATCAGTTTGTAAAAATTCTTCCCATTTCACAGAAGAGGCCACTTTTCCAGGGTGGTCTGCTATGCCCACACAGGCCATTTTCCCACTCATAATTGTTTGGAGATGTGAACTTGTACAGGGAACCATAAAACAGACTGAACATGAAATTAGTCCTCAACATTGGACTTGTCAAAAAAGGAAGAACTAAAAGACATACTCTAACAGCTTGGGGCTTTTCTTCCCCACAAGTCAGAACATCCTATTAATCATTTAGCTTTTAATGATGTACTAGTAACTTCTACAAAATTTATGCATGTTCAAATAAGAGTCACTTAAAAAAACAAAAACTGGACTTTAATCCAGTTAGTAAGTCTAATAACAGTTAGATGTTTAAAAGAGACAGCAACAAAGGCAATCTTTATGTTAGTAGAAAAATTAAAATTAGTTAAAACCATGCACAAAAAGGGCAACACAGACACAATAAGAGGATTCTTTAAAAGCAGATTCTCAGGACTTATTTTATGAACAGCTGCAAAAATGAAAAGGGTAAAAATATTTCATTTTTTCATTGTCTTCTAAACAAAGCAAGACTATCTCAAGGGGGAAAGAAAGTAATCCAACTGCACAGTGCATCCGGGTTAAAGAATACGGGTAGGGTGAGACAAAAGAATTTTAATATACACATTACCATCTTTTCGTTGCTCAGAACGGAAGACTTGCCCGGCTGATATTCGTAAATGCTCTTAGGCTCTGCACGGTATTTTCTTGTATCCACTTTCTTATCTGGGGGCTCCCAGTCGTTTCTATAAAAAGAAAATCCTATTGGAGCTATTTTCATGAAAATTGGCATCAGCTTCTGACATGGTCTGACTTTGGTTGGCTGTAGTCTAATCAAGGAATTTTTATACCCAAAGCATAAAACTGGCATCAGGGCAAACAATTTAGTTGTGTTGATTTGCTTCTCAGAACAACGAGTTAAATCTCTGTGTTCACCTCACAGAGGCCTTGAGGTATCCTGTGCTCAAAACCAGGTACCAGGAAGTGGAGAGAAGAGAAAGAGAAGCAGAGAGAGAGGAAGAAGCAGAAAAGCTTATTATTCCCCAAACATTCCTGTACTTCCCACTCATGCTAGTACAGTGAGAGCGAATGCAGGTCCCGGAGCCAGCTGACTACAGCTCAAATCCCTGCTACACCACTTGCTAGCTAGGTCATCTTACAGCCAAGCACTTTACCTCTTGGTACCTCAGTTTCCTCATCAGAAAAACCAGGGCTGTTGTGAGGATTAAATCAGACAGTGCACGTAAAACTGCTGAGCAGACAAAAAGGCCCATAGTGACCATTCAATAAATGTTAGCTGTTATTATAACTGTATTCTTCCATAGTCCACACCCCATCCTGCTACCCACGAATCTCAGCCTCTGGCACAGATACTTAACCAGGCATCCAGTGATGAGTTTCAGAAGATACATAAATCCTTGCAAACTGTTTGCAGATTTTTTATGCACGTTCATTACTGCACTTTGCACTGTGATTGTATTTAGTTTTCCATGCAAGTCTGTAAACTTCTCGAAGGCAGGGACAATGATTTATATATACTTAATTCTTCCATAACATCTGGTTCAGTCTGCATAGAATAAACCTAGTAGGCACTTAATGAATATATCTGTGAAGGATTTATGGGTATACCCAGCCTTCCTTTCAAATTCCTCAGGTAGATGCTACTTAAGTACACGTGGGGCTTTTAAGACAGCCATTCATTTGTCTGTGAAGATGGAAAAGGTATGGAGGTGTGAAACTGGATACGTATCCAAGGGAAAAATAAACAGTGGACCCTCTGTACCTGCAGGTTCTTCATCCGTGGATTCAACCAAACGCAGAGAGAAAACATTTGAAAAGAAAAATTGTGTCTATACTGAACATGTACAGACTTTTTCTTCTCATTATTCCCTAAACAGTATAGTATAATAACTACATAGCATTTACATTGTAAGCAGGTTCTTCATCCGTGGATTCAACCAAACGCAGAGAGAAAACATTTGAAAAGAAAAATTGTGTCTATACTGAACATGTACAGACTTTTTCTTCTCATTATTCCCTAAACAGTATAGTATAATAACTACATAGCATTTACATTGTAAAAGGTATTATAATCTAGAGATGATTTAAAGTATACGGGAGGATATGCATAGGTTATATGCAAATACTATATGCCATTTTATACGAGGGACCTGAGCATCTGTGGATTTTGGTATCCATGGGAGGTCCTGGAATCAATGATCTACGAATAACAAGGGATGACTGCAATTTCGTTTGGCTAGAGCCCTTTGTGTGTTGAGAAGTGGTGGAAGTTGGGGCTGGAAGTTGCATAGAACACCTATCCAGATGGCATGAGAAGGTAAAATAAAAATGCTCCATAGGGCATTTTTAGAGGTTAGAATAAAAGAAAATTGGGTTGTTTGGTACAGGCATTAAGAGATGACTAAAGTCATCATTAGAATCAGTCCAACTGGGCCTATGTCTCAATAACACAAGTTGCATGAACAGATGTTAAAAAGTGAGACCTCATTGTAAAATTATATTCTTTGCTATGAATATATGAACACAGAGTCAGTATCACACAGAATATGAAAATATGCGACAAATCTTGCAGTTTAAATTTCTCTTGTGAAAATGTAAAACACAGTAAGTATAGTCAACATTAATTAAGCCCATACCATGAGGCAGGCACTACTAGGAATGTTATGTGCATCATCTCATTTTATGCTGGCAATGTCCCTATCAAGGAGTAGTGCAATTTTTATCCCCACTTTACAGATGACGACGTGGAGACTCAGAAAGAATAAGTCACTAGCTAATAGGTTATAGAGCAGGGACTCAAATTCCATGCTCCAAGAAAGGATGCCCCTAGGTCTCAATAAACGTTGACAAGGCCCTGGCTGGTACCAACATGGGACGAGGGCGCGCTTACCTTTCTGGGCTTGACTTTAGTGAGGAAGAGCGAGCCGGCAGGGGTAGCGTGGCCGACCTCTTAACTACCTTCTCACCATCGATGTAGCTCATCTCACTTTTTGAGCGAGGCACAGAAAGGGGGGATTTTGCTGGAAAAGAAAGTGCATACCAAAGACTTTGAAAACTGAAAACAGAAGATTCTTCCCTCATCTGCCATCTTCCCTTCCTCCCTCACAACCAGGAAGATCAAAGTCACTTACTGTCTTCAGAAAAGGAGTATCGAGGAGAGCACAGATCTGAATCATCATCTATTGAACAAAACAAAATGTAATCAGGAGAAATCAACTAAGGTATGAGAACAGAGGTGCATGTTTCCCCACTTCCACAGTCCTGCTCCAGCATCCAGCCACACCAGGAAACCCAGCGGAGAGAGGAGGAATCAAGCGCTGGAAGCTACACCACAGCAGACCACATCTGAGAGGAGCAAGGTTCAGAGTCCACCCAACCAGACCTGCCGCCCAGACAGGACATTTAAGACACCCAGCAGATGACCGCTGCGTGACACCAAAGAAATGCATGGGGACGAACAGCCAAAGATCCTCCTAAGGAGAATCCCCACCGCCAAAGCTGGAATGGAGGGTCCTGGGTCTGGCTGAGTCGGAAGATCCCGAGCTGCTCGAGCTCAGAGTCTTGTCTAGTCTGCTGAATTCCATGGAGTCCTGAGAGGACTCTTCCCAGAGGCTTGGGGCTGCTATGGGAGGGAGGGAGAGGCCTAGAGGGTATGGTTTCTGTCTCTCCACCTCAGCTTGGACCTTCTGTTTTATACGTTAAGCTTCCACACACATCATCATCAACAAAGAGGTTCGGTAGCTAAGAAAAAGTTTGAGAAAATGCTCATAATTTTTTATTCTACCTCAACCTGGTTCCACAGGTAGATTTCTTTCCTTGGAACACCATACAGCCATGGCTGACAAAGCTATGCGGGTTGCTCTGCAAAGGTACTACTCAGAATAAGTCTGTAACTGATCAAACTCACACGAGTTTCTGTAGTGTGAGATGGCTGTCCAAGGGACAGCTATCAGGTACCAAGGTAACTTTTCCCTTCCCTCTCTCCCTCCCTTTATCTTATCTTTAAGGATAAGAATTAGTTAATATCAAGACTGCACAGGGTTTAAGGTTCTCCTACCAACACAGCCAAGTCTTTCACTATCCTAAATTGAGTATGTAAGCTTATTTAAATGTTAACTTCTGAAAATACGGCAGGAGAGAGAAATAAAACAGAAGCCAGAAATATTTTTTGAAATACTGTTCTGAAGAACTTTTTCTTGCCTACTATTTTCTTTTTTTTTAAATAGAAGTTCTGATTATTGTACTGACAAAATACCACAATATCGAAGAAAACTAAAAATCAGCACTGACTGCAGGGATTTGATTAGAAAAAATGGTGCCTGTGCCAAATGAAAAATTAGCTTAGTTAGAGACTGGTATATGCACTGCTTAAAATCCAACCTAGCATTTTAACTCAAAAACCTGTACTTCTCTGAACAACGGAGAGATTACAGCCTATCAGCAGATGGTGATGCAAAGATTAACTTATAACTATTACCTGCTTCATAAGGTGAGAAGCAAAGTTTTTTGGGAGGGGAGAAAGATGGCATTTAAATATTCAAAGATTTTTTTTAAAACCTCAGCTCTTTTTAAAAAAATGTTTCTTTTTTTAACATCCCTCTCACTTTTTAATTTTTTTATTCACATATTCATAGTTACAAATATATTTATTCTCTATACCCCTTATCCAATTCTCTTCCCCCTTTCCTTTTTCCCTTTCTCCCTCCCCGTCCCCCCTCTAATAACCATAGATTTGTTCTCTCCATCTGATAGATTAACTGTTCCTCTGTTGGTTTCCCCCTCTAATAACCATAGATTTGTTCTCTCCATCTGATAGATTAACTGTTCCTCTGTTGGTTTGCTGCCGAGATGATCTGTCCAGTACTAAGACAGGTATGATCAAGTCTTCCCCTATTATCGTGAATCAGACGCTTCTTCTATTACTCTGGAGTGTGCTTTGTGGGGAGAGAGGACCTCTTCTTTAAAAAATCTTTTTTCCTAGAGCTTTCTAATGTGGAATTCTAGAAGGCTTATGAGAAGAAAATGAGAAATAGTTCCTGCAGGATGGGGAAAAAATAGCACTGCTTGGGAAGTATAACAATTCATGTACTTTGGAAAGTAGAAGAAGTAGGAAAGCTGGGGGATGAAGGCAACAGAGAAGTCTGAATAACTGAATGCATTTAAAGCTACTTTCTTATTTGGTGTAGTTAGAAAAAGAAATTTCACCTGCCCACCCAAGACTAAAACAGGACAGGGGCATCTCTGTTAAAAGCCTTTCATTTCTCATAGTGTCAGCAGGATCCGACACTGAATTTCAGTTCATAGACTCATAAGAGAGCAAACTAAAGTCCTATGGATTCACCTGAACAACTTTAGCAATTAGGACAAGTTCCACGGCATACATAATTCATCATTTTAATTTCTGAAGCCTGTTGCAAATCTAATAGAAGAAAATTTTATCTCAGCTTATGAATAAAAATAATAATAGATCCCATTGTTAAATGCCTAATAATAGCTGACAATTTACTAATATCATCTCACTTAAAAAAACTCCAGGAAGAAGTAAATATCTCATTTTACACACAAAGAAAATAAGGCCCAAGGAGGTTAAGAAAACTTGCCCAAAGCTGCACGGTGAGAAAGAGACAAGGTAGGAATGGATTCAAGGTCTCTCTGACTCCACTTCCTTATGTCACCTCTTAACCCTGTGACAGGGATGCTGTTTTGTTCTAGCTTTCCTCCAGCTTCATCTGCCTGACCCTGGGAAAGGTAAAAGACTGTGGCTAGTCCATTACCATTTGTACTACAGAAGAGGCAGAGAGAGGTGTTGTCCTGAAACTCAAGCTACACACCGCACTGCTGGCCAGGCCGATTTCCAGCCCTTACAGCCTTTGCTCTATTTTTACATATCACCCACCCTGGGTGATGGTTAAGCAAGTTTTCTGGGTTACTCCAACACACTTCTAGTTTTCCTCCTGCTGGTCTCCAGGGACAATGGGTAACACTGAGTCACTTCTGCTATATCTTTCACTTTCCGCATCTTGCTTCCTTCTCACGGTAATCTAAGTCCACACTGGGTAAAATGGGTATGCAGTTAGAAATACCAAGGAATGGGCAAACTGGGAGTATGGAGCACCCTCTTTATTCTATATGCTAGAGCTAGCCAGGTGGAATAGGTGTGTGTCTGTGTGTGTTTTTAACCAGTTTAGACACATTAAATGAAACATTTCTCAGGTCGTCTATGAGCTAGCATCTGAAACCCTACCTTCACTATTTCTCCAAGCATCCTTAAAACACCACCTTGTGATTCCTGCTCGTGATCGAGCCACATGCTGATTGTGCCCCTCAGAGCACCAAGCAGCAGACATCGAGCCTTGGCAGCAACACTCAGAACTTCCCAAGCCAGTGATCTCCAGGAAGCTCTAACACTGAGCAGTATTTACACAGGGTGAACAACTCACGTCTGGTCCCTGAAGGCCCCTGTTGGGCTCTGATGCTCACACACTGGTTCTCTACTGGGCTTTAGCAATCTGTCCTTGGTAGCTCAATTTTGGGATAGCTGCTCTCCTAAAACTTCTGAATCACAGTGACTTTTAACGAGGTTCTAAATGACTTTTTTTCTGGGTTGGTTTTTCTGTTTGTTTTTAGAATTTATAAAAATCTTAAGGACAAACGGAGAAAGGACTAGTTGAAAATTGTTGTTCTATAAAGACTGTATATAATTGACCAAAATGAGATGGTGGGCAAAAATCAGCATTGCATAACCATTTGCCTCTATCAATTAAATTTCAACTGTATGCATTTCTTAGGCTTTTAAACTTAAGATTATTTTTCTAATATTAATAGCTCATTTTTAACACAATCTTCTTCCATTGCTCAACATAGTTCCTTCTCCGGCTTTACCCGACACACTTAGGAAGAGAAAGCATAAAAGGGTAACAAGAGACAGACAGACACACACCCCAGACAAAAACAGTCAGAGAAAAGGAGACATGTAGAATTGGGTACAGAGTCTGGGTGGGATGGGAGAGGAAGAATAAGCAGAGCAGGAAAGTCGGGAGATCCAGGGAGCCTGGGGGAAGTCACGAAGGTGGTTATGTTTTGGTTAAAGGCAATCCAGTTTTACGGGATGAAAAAAAAAAACAAAAAACAGGATAGTGCATAGAGTAGCTGTAGAAGACATATTCAGGGGGAAAAAAAAACCCCAAAAAACTAGAATTCTGAAAAAGAGAATGAGGTGGAGCAGGAAAGAAGTTAAAGGAGAATGTTTGTGAGGACTAGAGGGCTGGGAAAAGACTCAAAGTCCTCACCTCCTATCGGACTCCAGGGCCTCGAAGGTGGGAAGGGAGTAACCGCTGCCGTTTCTTAATGATCCCACAGGCCACTGATAGACTGCCTGGGCAGTTCTCCTTAGGAGAGCAGAGGTGGCTCCGCCAGCGGCTCGGCCCCTCCTCTGGGCAGTGCTAGCCGCGGTTTGGGGCAGGAGGCACAGATCCTGGCCAAGCACCTTCACAATAGAACTATTTACTTGAAGACAAGCAAAATAAGGCTATTCTTAGAAATCCTGCAAGGTCAGTAGAGGATTATTTTAACTCAAATACAGATGTGCCTGAAAAAAATCAGCCTCCTTAAATGCTGGCCTTAGAGTACTCTCCTATGGGAATGAGGAAAAAGTGCAATGAGCCATACCATGATGGCACCATGACCTGGGGATGGCCAGAACTGCTGTCTTGAGTCACATCACTGTGAGCTGGCAGAGCCACCACTGGCCTGGAGTGGTAGAAAAGGCATCCAAAAGCACAGGGGAAAGCTGGTCTCTGGTACTTCACCTCGGGTGATAGCCCTTCATCCTGACCCAGCCCAGTGGGTCCTCACAGGGCACAGATCACAAAGTAACACATACCAGTTACTTAGTTTTGCTGCAGATGCTGAGGCACACTTGAAAATATCTTCCGTTTTCTTGACATCAAACATGCCAGGTGAGTCAGCATCATTTGGGGATGTCCAGAGTGGAAAGGCTGGCTCTCTTGAACCTGTATTCCCCACTCGAATTCTATATCCAAGTGCCTAACATCGCATCTGGACAGGAAACTTCACCCCTTTTGGAGGCTGGGGAAGAGTGGTATTCCTTCATTCCAGTGGTTCTCAATCGTGGCCGTGAGGCACAATCACTTGGGGAACTTTCCTAACTACAAATTCCCAGACACCATCCTGGGAGAGGCCGGCTCAGCAGACTGAGGCAAGACTGACCCAAGGGGAGCACGGATTTCTGGAACAGGCGTCAGAGAGCCCTTGGCAAGAAGGGGATAACCAAGAACACAGAATGTCTCAGGAGAGGGAGAGGAATCAGCAGAGCAGTGTCGCAGAGTCAGTAAACACACGTTTGGGGTGGTGCCCGGAGACCTGGGTTTGAATCCTGGCTCTGCCACTTACTGTGTGATCTTGCATGTATTACTTAGCCTCTGTGAGCCTCATACTTTCCACTGACAACATGAAGACTTACCTCATAGGATTGCTAGGAGGATGAAAATGAGGTCACAGTGATGTGTTCAGTACAAAGCTTTGTATACGGTAAGGGCTCAATAAATAAGTCACCTAGTCATCATGGTGGTAGTGGTAATATTATTCATAGGATTACGACTATGAGCTGCTGAGGTGCTGGCCACCACACCGCTGTTCCTTAAAGTGGGAGGTGGGGAAGGGAAGAGGCTGCATTTGTGAAGCTGCTTCTCCACAGCTTGCCCTCTCCCCCTGCTTCATGAAACAAAGTATAATGATATGTAACATCTCTCCCATTCCACATAGAGCACTCTCAAAGATTATAAAATTATTTTTTATAAAATTATAAAATGATTAGAACTGACTGCTCTTTGTTGGAATTTACAGAGGTGTTTGTTTTAAGTACATTTTAAACCTCATTGATTAAGACATGATAATTCTATTTATCCTCTAAAAGTCTGGCCAGAAGTCTACTTTTTCACTGTAGCTGAGAAAAAAGAAGGTTGCTGAGCCAGCATAAACAAACTTTCATATAGTCCCTTACTATTTAGGAGAATCAGCTTTGAGATATTTAGAAATGTCTTTTTTTACACTATATAAAAACTAGAATTTAGGGCCGGCCCGGTGGCGCAATGGATAGTGCGCCGCTTGGGAAGCGCGGCGGCGCTCCCGCCCAAGGGTTCAGATCCCACATACAGACCGGTTCCCGCTCACTGGCTGAGCGAGACACGGGAGCAACACCGAGGGTTGTGATCCCGTTGCCGGTCCCCGGTCCGGTACGGGGGCAACACTGAGGGTTGCGATCCGTTGCCGGACACAGAAAAAGACAAAAAAAAAAAGACAAAAAAAACCCACTAGAATTTAGACAGAGGCAGCAGCCCTTAGGCTAGGCTTTGACAGATTTATTACAAATAACTGTAGTTCCAAATTCTGAATTAAAACAAAACAAAAATAACAGCAGCAACAACCACCTTCTCCCCAGGAGATAAACTCTGGAATGATGGCTCACATTTCTCAGTAAAGCTATTTATTAATACACATTAAAATCTATGGATAGAGCCTCCATTAGGTACTAATCTTTCCTTAACGACTTTCTTTGAAAGGCATAAACCTCTCCTACATTAAGAAGGATTTGCATAGAGCTCAGGACCACCTCCAGGGAGCACAGGCTGGAGCAGCACCACGGACAGGGCTAATGAGGGACTGTTGTAGCTCACAGACAATATCAAAACCACAAACCACATATCCAGAAAACCAGAGAATCTCTGAAGACATAAAAAAGGAAAAAAACAAACAAACAAAAAAAAACGAAAGAAAAATCTTTAAAATGATCTAGCTCGAACATTTCCCTCCTTTGTAAAACAGAGAATCTCTGAAGACATAAAAAAGGAAAAAAACAAACAAAAAAAAAAACGAAAGAAAAATCTTTAAAATGATCTAGCTCGAACATTTCCCTCCTTTGTAAAAAGGCTTGATCTAAGTGAATACATCAGTCATCTGTGCCTGGATATGTCAACTAGGCAGGGGTGGGTGCGTGAGATGGAATCTACCCTATTTTAAAAAGATCTCCAGGGAAGAAAACTTCTTAGAAACTTGTGTTAAAGTCTAATCATCTTTGCTATTATGAATTTTTTATGTCTAACCTAATTTTTTCCTTTTTATTTTTTAAGGCTATTTCTTCATTTTTGGTTTCTGATAATAAAAAACAGAGTCTGCTTCTAAATTATACATGACAAGTTATCACGTCATCCCTGTTTATACCTCTAGGCAAAATAACCCCAATTCCCTCTTGTACTGGACTTGATGTGCACCAAAAAGGAGATGTTATCACAAGCCAGGGTTGCTAGGTGTGGAGGCTGGAGACACACGAGCTCTGGGTGTGAGGCTGTGTAACCCTGTCTTCAGAACAACAGCCAAGCTACCAGTGACAGGCCTAGGCAATCCTCTAGTCCCAAGGGAGCCACTGTTCCCCCTCCACAGGACTTCTCCAAGCAGGCCTTCCTCTGCATGTGCCTTCAGCATGCTATGCCCTTGCCACCTTATCCTAGAAGGGAACTCTATCTTAACCCTAGATATGGGTTGGGTTCATGAGTCCAAAAATAAAGCACAAATCAAAAAGAGCATTTAGTCAAAATTACCCTGAAAAAACTCTCCCTCACCCAGCTCCATCAGTTGTTTCTTCAGCAATGCTTTTGTACTCTTAAGACAGAAAGACTAGGTTACCTATACCAAAGAAACTCCTGTTGGCAGTAAGGAGGTCACTGATCAAAAATAAATCACCCACTTTTAGTTTTGTACTAGTCTAGGTTTGTTTGGTAGACATTTCTTTTTCATACAAAATAGGCCCAGGCATGAAATTGTTGGAAGCCACTGACTAGGACATATGAGAGACCAGAAGTGGACTATGGTATTTCACTTAACACTGTAGTTAACACATACCAGTGTGTCATCTCATACAGGATAAGTGATCAGTAAGAGTTTGATGAATGACATTACAATGTCAATGAAGGGAAGGGCTGTATGGGATGGTTTGCTGAGCTGATCAGAGCAGAGGAGCACTGAGATCCTGGCACTGAGCTTCATCCCTAAAAAAGAACTCTGGTTCCACGGTCCAAAGCCTTCACTCACTGACGTTCTCCAGCTATTAGTGAGGACCTATTGTGTGCTAACAAGGTTTTCTGTGGCCTTCTGGACACATGCTCTGGCAACTAAACGCACACTGGACACGGTGTGCTGAAGCGGTCTTGTCTAACTCCCTGCCCGATATGAACTTCTGAGGACAGGGAATATGTCTCTTTCATGGCATTATCCTCAGTTCCACAGACAGTGAATGTCACACAGCAAATACTCAAAACTACTGGTGTGAATGAAGTTCAGAGCATTCAATATCTCATGCTAGAACAGCATTTAACAAAATTTCCTCCTCCATACCCCCATCCACTCCCCTTTTTCTGGGCCTCTCATCCAAAGATCAGACAATCCCTGCTACAAGGACAATTCTCAAGATGTTGCCCTTAACTCACTTTTAGAAGCTTCTTTGATACATCCTACCCAGCAGGTGGAAATTCTTATCCAGCTCTTTCATGAAATGCTTTCCAGCTTGACCAAAACTCTTATTTTCAAAAGATATCATCTCCCCCCATGACTGAATCTTATAATTGGATATCTCTTCAGGAATTCCCTACCAAAGAGAGATACCCTGAGGGCCCATAACAAGAGGGGCCCCGTAACAAGTTAGCTGCATGTACAGGAATCTGGAAATTTTCCCAATGTTGACAGCTGGCAGGTCAACCTCCTGCCCTGCCATAATGACTCAGCTTCCCTGAGTCACTGCTCAGCCACCAACACCAGGTGACCACCCTGGACACAAAGTCCTGGGTAGTTGGGTAGGGGCAGCTTTTCCCAAAGCCCCCAATGTTCAGAGCATTATAACTAAGCTATGTGGGCTGCTCCATTAATCATGTAAACCCTAAGGGAACAGGATTAAAATACCATCTGGATAGACTCTGGTTATACAGTCAGCGAGGAATGAAACACCACCACAAAACACAAGGTTAGAGGGAAGCAAATGATTGGGAGATAGCCCTTAGCCACCAGAAAAAAACCCAAAGTGAAAAGAAAGTAACAGCAGCAGTACAAAGAGAGGCACATGATTTTCCATTAATTACCTTCAGATTTAGGACTAGGAGTAGATGCAGGAAACTGGTAGGTAGGAGTGTAAGGATTGTCCTCTGTAGCAGAGAAAAGCAGTGGATTTTGAAACTAACCACCATGGAGTGGAGGAACTGACAAATCCCCAATTGACTCAAATGACAGATTACCTATTTTAGTGTAATTAAAGCACACGGGCATCACACTTAAAAATAGGTTAATGAATTAGAAAGGACTTAGTTATTTTAATACAGCACATCATGCATATGAAATAAGATTTTCACCAACCAAAAATAACTATGAAAATAAAATCTAAAAGCCAAATCTTATGCCTATAATTAAACTATAAGAAATTAATTCAAGGCTAGGACAACAGATATACTGTCTAAATTTATGGTACCTTCAGAATTTTGCTGGATTTCAGGTAGTTCAGGGAATTTGTACGTAGGGAAATAAGGGTTTTCTTCAGGAGTGTCTAGGCAGAGGAGCAGATTTGGGAGAGAGAATAGAGGAAGATACAAAGGGAGAGAATGAACAAGTAGGAATCCACATACAATTCAGGCTCCTTGAGTTCTGGAACATACTAAGCTTCACTAGCGATATGAGAAAAATTCAAACTGCTATTAAAAATCCAGTCCTTTTGTCTGAATTACAAAGACACATCGAAAGAGACAATATCATTACTCTTGTTGGACAAAGAATTACATATAAACAGGCTCCAATGGGCAAGAAGCATTTAGCACAAAGCTTCAAGTTTTCACTGTTTCTAGGCAAAAAATATTAAGTACGATAATAAATAGTATGCAATGAAAACACTCCCCCCCCATTTTTTTTATTCAAAGCTTGTGTTGTGAACATTAGAAAGACAAATAAGAAGATTCTTAATTTTTCAAATACCTCTGCCTACCATTAGGGCTGGCAGTTTTGTTTACAACCTATAATTTAGGTTGAGTTTAGTAAGTATAACATAAGAAGACCAATGCTGCCTGTGGGGCAGAATTATATTATTTTGCACATATGCAAGCACCTGTGTCTCTGCATTTTAGGCTTTCAAAGCTGGGTCTGAAGGTGATAAGAGTCACAGACTGCTCCAGGAAGTGGACAGCAGCTTTATGAAGTGACCAGTAGAACTGACCCCATTCATCAGTGATCTAGCATTTAGCATCACCACCATCACTAAGCTCATCCACCTATGCACAGCAGATTTACTCTTGACTGGGAAATGCTAAACACTGAGCACCTCAATATTTAGAAACAGTTAGAAGAGGGGCACACCCAGGTTCATCCTGAACCCAGCAGGAGCTAATTAACAGTGATGCCAGTCAGCATCTGCAGCTACGCAGAGATTGGGTATCTGTGGCTTAGGTGAGGACACTGACCATAACACTTTTTCTTTGCCTTTATGTGTCATCCATGCCAGGCGGCCAGACTGGATTTGGGCACAGGGAAGGACAGAATGCTCTGCCCACAGGAGGAGCAGGACCCTTCCCACAGTGCAGCTATATCCCTGCCTCTCAGTTGACTGGTGGTATAGGTGGCGATGAGAGCTGGCAGGGTCATGATGTGCCCGAGCACTGGCCTGGAATTCTCCCAGGGCTGGGTCACCTGCTGACAGCGCAGCGGGCCTCTGATTTGAAAGCACTTCTTTTGTGGCCTGAGCGAGCTCTGGTGCGTCAGCTCTTGACTGACTCTCAGGGCTACCTGCCAAGGGCTGGCTCCCAGCTGGGGAAGACAATTTTTCATATTAACACAGCCTTAGAGGTGCACCATGCATTCTACTTCGAAAGGCCAAGTGTGTTCTCATTTAGACCCTGGGACATGCCTTGGAGGAAGGATAGGAGGACAAACACAGAGAGGTACATGACTGGCCCAAGGTCACATGAATGCTTGGGGGACTGAATCTAGGTGAGAACACAGATTTTAAAAATTCCTACTTCAGTGCTTTCTCAACTTGCTCTGCCCACAAAGCAGTCATGGGCTGACACAGGGAGATGTCCCTAAAGCTAGAAGCAGGTGGCAGCTGGAACTGCTCACATCCTAGGCAGATGGATACTGGAGCACAGGCAGTGGGCAAGGCTCAGCCTGCTGCATTCCACAACATCTGGGAGGGAGGGCTTGAGGCAGGTGCATCAGTGCTGCCTCCTTCCTGTGCTCTGAAGGCACCTGGCTGGGCTCAGGCAGACCAACACCTCATGAGGTACTGCAGGAGCCAACCATCCTGCATCCCAGCGACATGAGTTCAGGCCCTCACCACACATTCAATATAAGGACACACAGCACAGTTTCTACAGACAAAAACCAGTACCTCTGTTTAGTTTATGGATCTGTTTAAACATGGTCTTGTACCAGTCTTTTGATCTCTCGGTGTTCTGGAGAAAAACAAAGGCAGAGTAAAGTAAAATGGAAATCTTGGCACATTTCAGAACTTCTAAGATTACAAAATTGAAATCAAAAAGGAAAGTGACGACATCTGAAGTCAAAACTCAGCCACATTTATATAATTTTTAAAAAGACAAAACTTTTGAGAAAGAACCAATAAAACAAGAGATTCAGATGCAAGTCTGCAGAGTGACATTTGGCCAAAAGAATGCAGATTTTGAGGGCCAGCCCGGTGGTGCTCCCGCCGAGGGTTCGGATCCCACATACAGACCGGCCGCTCACTGGCTGACAAGTCTGCAGAGTGACATTTGGCCAAAAGAATGCAGATTTTGAGGGCCAGCCCGGTGGCGCTCCCGCCGAGGGTTCGGATCCCACATACAGACCGGCCACTCACTGGCTGAGCGAGGTGCGGGCGCAACACCGAGGGTTGCGATCCCGTTGCCGGTCCTGGTCCGGTATGGGCACGACACTGAGGGTTGTGATCCATTGCGGGTCACGAAAAAAGACAAAAAGGAAAAAAAAAAAAAAAAGAATGCAGATTTTGAAAACAGTAGACAAGGATCACTTGAAATGTGTCTATTCTTTTTTTTTTTTTTGCCCTTTTTGAGACCGGCTACACCGCGCTCAGCCAGTGAGTGCACCGGCCATCCCCGAGTGCGCCACAGGCTCGGCCCGGAATGTGTCTATTCTTAATTTTTCTAAATTTCATTTTTAGAGAGAATTTTCCCCCCTATATAGACACACACTATGCTAAACTGAAGTAAAGCCTCATAGAAACATAACACACAAAGAAAACTTGTTTATCATGCCGTGCCCCCACCCTTCCAGGTTATATCTAAGTCACCTTGCACAGGGCCAGGTTTAGAATGCACACATTAAAATGTAACCCATTATAGCGTCCAATGCCAGAATTCTCATCCTAACCACGAAGCTGGGCTTCTTTCTTTTAATACAAGGAAGGTGACAGATAGGTGGTTAGATCAGACCTTTTCACTCCCACTTTACATATGAGGAGCTGAGATGCAGAAAGTCAAAGTGAACTGCCGGAGGTCATAGAGCTGGTGAGAAGCTGAGGGGGCAGGCCACCTAGCACAATGGTTAGGGGTGTGGGTTTGGGAGTTGGACAGACCGTTCAGTCACCCACAAGTTGTGCAATCATAGCAAGTAACCTAGTTCCTCTGAGTCCCTGTTTTCTCATCTATAAAATGGGAATGATATTAGAATCCACCACTCTCACAGGAGAGTGATGTTTTAAATGAGGTAACGTATGTAGGCAAATGATAGCCACGATTACTCTTAGTAGTAGTTTTTTTTCTATATTATTACATAGGACCAGAGAAGAGTTCTTCTGAGGCTTTGCCCACTTGTGTTTCTATGAGCCTCCTCTGAAAGGACAAGAACATTTCATTTGCTAAATGGAAATCACAGAAGNGGCGGGAGCGCTGCTGCGCTCCCAGCGCCACACTCTCCCGAGTGTGCCACAGGCTCGGCCCGGAATGTGTCTATTCTTAATTTTTCTAAATTTCATTTTTAGAGAGAATTTTCCCCCCTATATAGACACAGACTATGCTAAACTGAAGTAAAGCCTCATAGAAACATAACACACAAAGAAAACTTGTTTATCATGCCGTGCCCCCACCCTTCCAGGTTATATCTAAGTCACCTTGCACAGGGCCAGGTTTAGAACGCACACATTAAAATGTAACCCATTATAGCGTCCAATGCCAGAATTCTCATCCTAACCACGAAGCTGGGCTTCTTTCTTTTAATACAAGGAAGGTGACAGATAGGTGGTTAGATCAGACCTTTTCACTCCCACTTTACATATGAGGAGCTGAGATGCAGAAAGTCAAAGTGAACTGCCGGAGGTCATAGAGCTGGTGAGAAGCTGAGGGGGCAGGCCACCTAGCACAATGGTTAGGGGTGTGGGTTTGGGAGTTGGACAGACCGTTCAGTCACCCACAAGTTGTGCAATCATAGCAAGTAACCTAGTTCCTCTGAGTCCCTGTTTTCTCATCTATAAAATGGGAATGATATTAGAATCCACCACTCTCTCAGGAGAGTGATGTTTTAAATGAGGTAACGTATGTAGGCAAATGATAGCCACGATTACTCTTAGTAGTAGTTTTTTTTCTATATTATTACATAGGACCAGAGAAGAGTTCTTCTGAGGCTTTGCCCACTTGTGTTTCCTCTGAGTCCCTGTTTTCTCATCTATAAAATGGGAATGATATTAGAATCCACCACTCTCAGGTGAGTGATGTTTTAAATGAGGTAACGTATGTAGGCAAATGGTAGCCACGATTACTCTTAGTAGTAGTTTTTTTTCTATATTATTACATAGGACCAGAGAAGAGTTCTTCTGAGGCTTTGCCCACTTGTGCTTCTATGAGCCTCCTCTGAAAGGACAAGAACATTTCATTTGCTAAATGGAAATCACAGAAGAATATACTGTGGCCAATGGTCTGGTGGACAACACATGGAGAGGAATGGAATTCACCCAAATCCAGTTTCAAAAGTTGGGCCTCCCTGGAATTCCTTAGGCTCTACAGACTGGCATGCCCGTATAGTGGGGCAAAACTGGGGCAGGGCTGCCATAAGACCCTCTCTGTCCCAGAGGCCTTAGTTGGCTGAATCCATCTGTGGTGCTCTTAGAGTTTCCTAATCACTCTCGATGATGGAGTATCTCCATCCAGGGGGGATCTTCTTCCTGAACTGGCAAACAAGGACCCTGAGCCTCACATTCTCCCCAGGGTTCTCTAGCCCTAGGCCAAGAATTCCTGAGCATGTTCCACAGAACAATAAAAGAAGACTGCCCATAACACCCTCCCCTTGAACACTCACATGCCCAAAGCCTCTCAGTTCTACTGCAGAAAAGTCTCTGACTTGGTTCCACCCAGCTTTTCTTCATATTCATTTGACCATGAAACTCCTTGCTCATGAGACTTATTAACACTCAACACCCGCTTTGGGTAAAGCTGCTATACCAGAAGCCTGGAGCACAGCTCCTGGGGCTCTGGCACTCAAAGGGCTTGGAGAATCAGGGTGTGAGGACCCTCCCCACGAGTCCTCTGCAACCGATAGATGTGGTTTATGTGCACTCTGGAGTGTACACTCATCACGCTTAAGAGGAAGCCTAAGAAGGACTTCTAGGTCAGTATTCGTACCCGGAGTGGGATGCCCACTTCATCCATGGAAACATCTCTTAGATCCTGAGTGCTCTTAACCACCCGCCTGCTGTCATCTTTTGCTTTTTTTTCAGTAGCCCTGCCAGGTGAGGTGTGTTTTTCCTGGGTTGGTGCCGAGTCCTGTTCTCCCACTCTTCTTTCTGTGGCAGGATCTGGAAATAAAAAGCAATTGTTAGCTGAAGCTCTTCTGGTAGCTCCAAAGCAAAAAACTCCTAAACAGTCCAGCTAGGGGAAAGTGTGTTTGCTGATTCTCAATTGGAACTAGCTACATTTAGAGCAGGGGTCAACAAACTACCACCCGTGGGTCAGCCACCTGTTTTTGTAAGTAAAGTTTTATTGGAACACAACCATGCCGATTCATTTACGTATTACTTATGGATGCTTTTGCACTGCCACAGCTGAGCTGAGTAGCTGTAACAGAAACTGTACAGCAAAGCCTAAAATATGTATTATCTCGTCCTTTAAAAAAAGAGTTTGCCAGCAGTGAGCTAAGTGCTTTGTAGTGGCATGCACACTGTTCTCCAAGTTGTTCTGACTGTTCTAGAAATTAAGGGAGCAGGTAGAACCACAGGAAGTAGCTAAACATTACTTGAAAGTTCTTGTTTTCATTTTGTGAAGTCACTTTTCTGTGCCCCAGTTTTCTCATCCAAAAATGGAGATAACATTTCCATTGGCAAGCTGCCAGCAATGCCATGAATGAACTTATCAAGATAACTTATGCCAAAGCACTCAGAAAGCTGTACATTGCTAAATGTGTGGTACAGTTTATTTAATTTGGTTCAAGATTGGAAGTTATAAAGAACTAATAAACATACCAGGTGTGGTCTACAAATTATAAAATTAATACAAGCTCTTGTTACAAGCCATGTCATTTATTCCTTGGAGAGCATTTACTAGGCACCTGCCAGGTGCTATGCACTATGTTCTGCCCTGTGGACATGAAGGCAAACATTTCAGAATCTCGGCCTTTGGGGAGCTTATGGTCTTGTGGGAAGAAAGAGCAAGTGAGTCAAAGAGGACTGAAAGAGGTGTCAGCATCCAACTTGGTTAAGGAATTCAGGTTCAGGGTCAGCTTCTCAGAGAAGCCAGCCAGTCTAACAGGAAGTGAAGAATGCTCCTGGCAGAAGGGACAGCCTAAGCAGATGTGTGGGGGCCTCTGAACCACTCGGAGCTAGTGATGTGCCATGCATTGCACTAAACTGTTCACATACATTGTCTCATTTCATTCTCCCAATAACTCCATGAGGAAGAAACTATTATAGCTCCTCCATTTTTCTTTAATAATTAAAGGAACGAAAGCACAGAAAAGTTACAGTCCCCTGCCTGAGGTCACAAAGCCAGCACATGGCAAAGCTGGGATCTGGCCCAGTGTTCTCCTGATTCCAGCAGTCGTCTCTAATCCATATCCTATCTTGCCCCCCTCAAAGATGAGCCTGGCTTAATCCAAACATGGAGATTAGGAAAGAGAACGGGGCTGGGGAAGGGAGGGAGAGATGACCACTTCCATTTAGACCAGGGTAACCTTGAGAAGACAGAGAGACGCTCAGGTAGAAATACCCTAGAGCCCTAGAATAAACATGGAGGGAGCCCAGGGGAGATGCCCCAGCAGGAGGGTACTTTTGGAGCACAAAAGTGATGGCTGATGTCAGGGAGGTGGAGGAGTTCAGTGGTGGAGGAAGTGAGAGCAGCATCAGGGCTGAAGTCCTGCACTGAGGGATGGCACAGTCTCAGGCTGAAAAGCAAAAGAATCCCCACATGAATGCAGGAGTCATCCAAGGGACAGGAGATGGACTAGGAAGTACAGCAAAGTGCCACCGAAGCCAGAATTCTAAGTGGATCATTAAATGTGTCAAAAAAAAAAAAAAACCCAGAAATTGGAGCAGAGGAGGCATCAGCACTAGATTAGGCAAGAGAGAAGTCACAGAAACACTCTGAGGGACAATTTCTGGAGGGCAGTGGCAGTAGGCACCAGGGTGGGGCAAGGGGATGAACGTGTGAGCAGCAAGTGGGGGTAGTAGGTAGCAGATGGTTCAGAAAACTAGATTAGGCAAGAGAGAAGTCACAGAAACACTCTGAGGGACAATTTCTGGAGGGCAGTGGAAGTAGGCACCAGGGTGGGGCAAGGGGATGAACGTGTGAGCAGCAAGTCGGGGTAGTAGGTAGCAGATGGTTCAGCAAGGAGGAAGGACTGTGGTGGACGGTAACTCAGAGGTCAGAAAGGTTTAAGCCAGGGCCAGCCTAACATTCTATCAGTGAAGCCATGAGGTGAGGACGAAGGGCATCGAGATGTGCCTCAGTAACTAATAAGTGCTAATAAATGTCTGCTCACTGACTGAGGAGGTGTTCTCATCTTTGAGAAAGGATAAGGTGCAGAGTGCTGGCTGGGGGACTATGCTTTGGCATAAAGAAGAGACCCTAGGGAACATGTAAAGTTGTGACAAAGTCAGGGATGTCTATGTGTGGAGGAGAGGTAGGGAAAGTGGAGGAAATAAAGTCAGCATCATCAAGTTTCATGACTTTCAGTCTACTCAATGGGGCAACCCTGTTCAGATTCCAAACTAACTTCTGAACAATTTCTAAATATTCTGTGAGACTCGGCTTAGTGGGTACTTCAAAAAACCTGATCCCTTGCATCCTCACCATAAACTTTAAAGGATGTTAAGATCACACTGGCTTTATGGGATGAGTTCTCATGCTCCCAGGAAATTCTAACATGAGGCCAAGGATTTGGCAGGAGGACTGGAAGTACAAAGGGATCTTGAGTTACCAGAGCCTACCCTTAATACGGCTCTGCTGAGCATTCTCCTCCCACCTGGAAGACCTTCCCTAAGCATGATCAGAAGGTCGGGTGAGGCTGATTTCAAGCTCTGTTATCACCTGGTGCTTGGAGGTGATCACGATCCTTGTGCTATGAAATGACGATGCAGGTCACAGACCTGCCATTCTCAGGGTTTCTAGATGCAGAGTAATTTTTTTTTTTAACTATTAGGGGCAGATGGCTCCAACAACAGTCACCTAACTGCAAAACTCAGGCTAACAGTCCACAGATTTGTCCTAAAACTGCCAGAGTCCTTTGGAGCTATAAAATTAGCCCTGAATTATTTTACTTTAGAAGCTTGTGATCATGCGATTCATGATTGAGTGGATTTTGATAAACAGAGCCTGAACCACAGCCCAGATCCCTCACATGAAATCCTGGGGCATGTCCTCCTAGCTTTTTTTTCCACACTAATTTACAAGTTTTTATTTACACTGTTTTATATACATTCCAGGCAGACCTAGTTGGTGAGTTCTGTGCTCATGTCGATCTCAAATGATCATGTGAACAGTATTATTTAGTACCATATCTCTAATTTCCAGAAAATGGTGGTAGCATGGGGGTAGGGGGAAAAAAGTCAAATATCACTAGTCAGGTAAGATCAAAAAAGTATGTAAAAAAAGGAAAAAAAAATAGTGGAATTTCACTTGTTAAAGCAGGTAAGCCTCTATGGTCTACTGACAAACATTGAATATACATGAATGCCACTTCTAACAACCATTTTCATATTTATAAAATGAGCTTACTACCAGTTATTAGGTAAGGCATTCAAGTTCCTTAGCTAAACATAAAAAGGCAACAGACATCTCAGCAAGCCACAGAATAAATTTTAGAGAAATGATTTAGAGCTCTGTTGAGATGTGCCCTCCTTTAGAATCCCTTAAATGGCCAATATAAAGGAAGCCAATTTTGAATCCCATTGCTAGCCTGCACCATGAACCCAAAAACCTGTACAGGAAGTAGGAGCATCACAACACCCAAAATCTAGCCCAAGAGAGGGGGCAATAGCTTAAATATCTTATTTTGTTCCCACTGTCCTTCTAGTTTTTACTGTGCTTTGAAAAAAAAGGTCCTGGGCCACTGAATAAAATGATGAGGCCAACAACCTCAGACAGGGCCTCTGTTTGTGGGAGGCGGGATGGCCTCCCACTTCTTCACACCCACAGCTTTGTGACTGAGGATTACAGCAATGTTTACACCTCCCTGGGGGAAGGGAGGTGGCCTCTACACCCAATGCCAGCCCCTCTATCCTAGCCCTTGTCTGGTTTTCCCGTCTCCCCAAGGGGACTGTGAGCCACCTGAGGCCAAACACCATGTGGGTTTCATTCCTGGATGACTCTCATTGAGCATCAAGCCCCATAGAGGCTCAGTAAAAATCTGCTACAGGGAGAGAGGCTGGTGGCCCTTGAGTTCCACCACCACAGGTGATGGGCAGACTTCCTCGCTCCAAGGCACGGAGACTGGAGAGTGCCAGCACAGCCAGTCCTTTCTTTTACAGGCTCTCCTAAACAAAATGGAACTACTTCTTTTGAATAAAAAACTAACATTTAGTGAGCACCTACTTTCAGCCCCACTTTATCAAACATCATTAGTAGATCTGTCCCAAAACTCAAGAAGGGCAGTAGCATCAGACTTATTTTAGAGCCAAGGAACTGGACTGGGCCACCAACATGGAGAAGCCCTCACATTTACACAGCTCTCTCCAGTGTGCAGAGCATCCTCCTCCTTCCTGTCACATGGAACATCTCCACCTCCAGGCAGGGGCTAGGATCACTACCTCCATTTCCCACATGAGGAAATGAACAGCTCTCTCCAGTGTGCAGAGCATCCTCCTCCTTCCTGTCACATGGAACATCTCCACCTCTAGGCAGGGGCTAGGATCACTACCTCCATTTCCCACATGAGGAAATGGTGGCTCAGAGAAGTGAAGTCACTTACCCAGGGAAAAACAGCTCTAAGAGGGAAGAGCCAGGACCAAAGTCTGGGTCTCTTAACTTGTGGCTGCATGCCTTTTTCATCTGTTCCACCCTCCTTCCAAACTCCCACTGGCAGGATAAGGCCCACAAAAGCCACCTTGTCCCCAGAGCTATCGTGTTCTCGGCAACCTGGGCTGGGACCAGGGAATGAAGCGGGCTGGGACCAGGGAATGAAGCGGGCTGGGGTGTGGCAGCTCGAGGAGGGGCCAGGAAGGGCACCTTGGGCTCAACCACAGCCTGTTCTGGTCCTGCGGCCAAGTCCTGATAAAGCTGAAAGGGTATGAGAACCCCATGTCCTCCCCACCCGGGCTCTCCACGAATCACATGGACAGCAGTGGGATGAAGTCACACAGAAATCACGTAGCAGCCGCTCAGAAAGCGGAGGCTTCAGTATCCACCTGATCAGGGTTCTTAACCCTGCAGTCCACGAGAATCTGCAAATCCACAGAAATCACACGCACATGTTTGCACATATGTGGCTTTTTCTGGAGACTACCTTCCTTAGATTCTCCCAAGGAGTCCATGACCAAAGGTAGGTTACACACCACACCACTAGCTGCTCAAGGGCAGTGCAGCTCCCTGATGCAGCCCCTGAGCCTGGCTCAGTGCCTGAAGGAGGCACCAGACAAAATGCCAAGGGCACCAGTGACAGGCCTACTGATGACAGTAGCTCACATCTATTAAACACTTGGAGAATGCCAAAACTCAGTACTACACTACTTATAAGCAGGACCTTTGATCTTCACAACAACCTGTGACGCACTACTGCTTTCCCCATGGGGCAGATAAGAAAACTGAGACATTAGATAACCTGCCTGAGGTGGCACCATTAATAAATGGCAGAATGCAGGTTCAAAGCAGAACATCAACAGGAAGCCATAAGGAAATGGCTAAACATTCTCACTCCCGGGTTTACTCATACTTTCAGCCTACACGTTTGTTCTCTCCCCACCACGACATCATCCCAATCCTGCACACTTTATCGGGAAGCGAGCCGTGCTATCTGATAATGCTTGTAACCCTTCCCCACCACTGTTGGCTCTAGATTATCCACTTGCCATCAAAGTGTGGTCAGCACAGAGGGCAGGATCAGCATCACTGGGAGATGGTTAGAAAGGAAGATTCTTGCCCGTACTCATTAACTCTGAATCCCTGGGGGCAGGGCCCAGGACTGTGGGTTTTGACAAGCTCTCCAGGCGATCTGGTGCTGGCTCAAGTTCAAGAAGCAGAGCTCTGGCACCCTCTTCTGGCACTGCTGATCTGGAGGCTCTCACCTGGACCCCTCACCCCGGTCTCATCTACTGGCATGTGGGCTTGCCACCCAAAAAGGAAAGAATTTGCCCACATTTCCAACCCTGATTGTCACATCATAGAAGAGAGAAAGATGCAACAGAAGAGGTCTGCTGTGAACATTGCATCCAGATCAGAATTCCTTGTTCTTTTTACCCAGATCATCCTGTTGTTACCCATCAAGGCACTTATCGCAGTTCCTCAGGACACATTTACTAGTTTGGTTCACTCATTTGGTCTACTCACCAGCCTACAAGCTCCAGGGAGGCAGGAACTATGCCTGTTTTCATCATCTTGGCAGTGCAGCAACAAACAGTCCCCATTAGAGGAGCTCAGAAGATTTTGCTAATGGATCATCGGGTGGTGACCAGAAGATGTCTTTAACAGGAACAGAATTTAATGTGTAAAAAAATATTTCTCACCTACCTGAAAGGCTACTGAGTCGTTTTTGCTGTTCTGTGATAAAAGAAAAGAACACACAGTATAAATGAGATTTATACAGCACACCATCCTGGCATAACTACTTGGGATCCCAAAGTCTGCATCCTCACTGTCCTCTGGGCTTAGATGCTAAAATGTGTAGCTGATTACAGGGCATAATGCAGCTCCCATTATCCGGGTGTGGTGTCTCCCAACCCCTCCTCTCCCAGATCTGCACCAGGATTCGGTGGACTGCCACTATTTTCTAGATGTTTACATCTTGTCAAAATGATCTCTTCACTGAAGAGGACCCTCCCAACTCCCCTGGTTTCAAGTGATCAGGACCTTCTATGATCCTAGTCTTGGTACCTTTTGAGGGAAATGTAATTATAATCATAACCATGCAGCTTCCACCTCCTGAGAGCCTGCCAGACACTGTTTTAAGAGCTTTTGCACGTAACACTTGGAAACTTTGCAACAAACCCAGCAGTTAGGTATGATTCCTCTCCTCACTGTATAGGTTAGTAAACTAAGGCACAGCCTCAGCTACTACAGCAATCTGGCTGGTCTAGGGTACAGAAGAAATCCTTTAAAAAAAAATCAGCATTGGCAGAGAGACCTCACATAAGGAGCACAAATTACCCAAGACAACCCTAAAAATCAGCTGCATCTAGAACCTGGATCCCCCAACTCCTAGTCCAGGGTTCTTTCCACCTCTAGTCCCCAATGCCCTGCTGGATCCTAACATCCAGGGTCTATTGGTGTCTCACCCTCCTGGACACTCATGTGGAAGGGAGGCCAAAATCTCCTTTGTAGAGTCCCATGTGTACGTGCTATGGGAGAAGCACAAAAGTGACCTTTACCTTCCACAGCTGCTAAATATAAAGCAGCCACATAGATAAAAATAGAACACTTGCCAGCCCATGGGTGCTATCATCATCCCTCTTGGCTGCATCCTCACCCTCCTGCTAGAACCAGTGTACATAAGAAGTAAACAGGGCAGCACAGGCACTCACAGCTGGGGGAACCCACGTCTGCCCACCTCTGACCCGTGGATGAGCTTCACACTGGTGGGACAAGCGTGGGACAAGCAGAAGCCCAGCAGAGCTTCTGGCTCGGCTCTGCCAGTAACTTGCCAGTTGGCAAGGAGTCATGTAACCTCCTGGCCTCAGTTTCCCCATCTGTTAAATCAAAGTGCTCTGTAGTCTCTAAAGGAATCTGTGTTCCCTATTCTGGAAACTCTGTTCTGCAGTTTCCTGGCAGGCCTTCTCCAGCGGCAGAAATAAACGTGTTCAATTTAAAAGACTACATTGTTCCCACTTCTGAGGTGTGAAATGGCCTTTCTTTCACAGGATTCCATGTTACGCAGATAGTAATAGCTATTTCTCAGTGGCGTTACTTAGCAAAGTTAGAAATTAGGGTGAGGCCCAAGGCCTAGATTGCTTCATGTGTCCATAAGATAAATCTGGGACCCAGCAAGTTCTTGCTCTGCAGTGTGGCCCATGGGCCCACAGCAGTGGCATGCCCGGCAAGCTTGCTGAGAATGCAGAAGCTCCCTGCCCCCCATCCCCACTCCCAGACTTCCTGAATCTGAACCTGCAAGTTAGCAAGACTCCCAGGATCCTACGCACATTAAAGGCTGAGTAGCCCAGAGCAAGGAGACCCACACTCCTCTTTCAGTCCTGAGTGTTTTCTGATTCAAATCCTCCTTCCCAGACTTCACCCTCAAACACACATGGTATAAAAACTCGAGAAAGTGGGGAAAGGGACTGTGTCATTCACAACCATCAGTACCAGGCCAGAGCCTCAGTGCCCCAACATTTGTTGTTGGGGGGCAGGCAGCCCCAACATTTGTTGTTGGGGGGTGGGAGGGAGGGCAGCTTGCAGAGACAGGATTATTGTCACACTATGTCCTGGAACAGTCTAGGCAGAAAAAGAAGAGATCCCTTTTAGAATGACTAAACTAGAATTCCAGAAGTGGAGTAAAGTTATCAGTCCCTTGTGAGACTTCGCAATAGTTAAGAAATTGTTTTTAAGCGTCCCATTGTGAGGGGCAAAGCAGAGCTGCCAGGTTGGGTACGTTCCAAAGCAAAGCCTGAAATAGTGGAGTAAAGTTATCAGTCCCTTGTGAGACTTCGCAATAGTTAAGAAATTGTTTTTAAGCATCCCATTGTGAGGGGCAAAGCAGAGCTGCCAGGTTGGGTACGTTCCAAAGCAAAGCCTGAAACGCTTGACCTAAACCCCATTTATGACGTGATGCAGGGCTGGGCCGGCCAGGCTCTTCTATTCTTCTCAACTCTTCCTGCCTTACCTGCTTAGTGAATGTGTGGTTTTGCTCTTTATGGGAAGCTACTATTTAATTCCAAAAAACTAACGCCATTATTTGTATCCTTTTCTGAAGGATGTGTCTCAGGCTGCACAGTTCTGATTTTTAAGTCCCTACGGCAGGACTTGGACAAAAGAGAAAGGCAAGAACCAAAGGTATTTGGGTAAATAAGAGGAATTCATTTGTTCAAGAAAGAAACAAAAAGGAACTACAGGCATTTCTGTAACCATAGATGTCTCACAAGGTGCCATCAGACGGGACTTGGCAGAAGCAGCTGACTTGTCATTTCCCAAAAACCAAAATGCCTTGGGAATAATCCCATTTTTAAAGAAAATGTCTTTCCTTCTGGGAACTAGCTTGCTTCTGTTTCAATGGATTTTTTTTTTTTTTAATGAGTCATAAAGAAGTTCATAGAGTACCAAAATTCCACTTTGTGCTGCATTACAGACCCTTTCTGGGCAAGGGGAGCTACTGCCAGTAAGGGGTATAGCATGGCTGGAAGGAGAACGGGCTCTTACACAGTTCAGGATGGGGGTTGGAACCATGTTTATCTTTTGAAGAACATAGACTCATGGGTGAAAATATGGGAGCCACACACAGTGAAAAAGTAAATAAAACTACTAAAACAACTATTTAAGATTTGAGTAGAAAGATTTTAAGTAAGAGAAAACACCTTATTCATCTACTTTTCAAGTTAGAAGCAGGAAACAGAAAACTGTATTTAGTATGGAAAACAATTAAAATTAGACTCCAGCCTCATTCTCATCTAAGTTAATGCAGAAAGGGAGGTGGGAAACTATGAAGTAGGCAAGCAGGGAGTCAAGAAAAGGAAGATTTGGTACCGAGCTTTGAGCTCTGAACAAAATAATTATTCCTCCACTGTTCTTTGAAATTCAGACTAAAAAGCACTTTCTGCACTAGGAAATAGCTTGAAAACTTTACATTTCACACTGCAAAGGACTTCTGTGAAGGTAAAGTTCACTCCTTTATGGAATTCCAAAAAGGAAAACTTGGGGTTTAATCATCATCTGGAATTTTAAAGCAGAAGGGTGAACATATCCATTTACTACTTTCAAGCACTTCTGTTTCACCCAACCCCGAAGGCCCCTTCAAAGAAGCGGAAGAACCAACCAGAAGCAGTCAGAGAAACCACAGAAAACACACATGAAAACTAAGCCAAACTGTCTGGTGCCACAGTGCAGGGGCAAACAGCCACACAAACTTCATGTCCCCAGAGGGTGCCACTGAAGCGACACCTTGGTGCAGTAACTACTGGTGAGACTGAAGGCCAGTGAGCCACTAAGAAAAAGTTCAGTAGCCTCTATTTTAGAGAGACAAAAATTTGGTGCTCAAAACTCTGCATTCTAGAAAATTCATTATGTCAAAGAATTAAATCACTTATGACATTACTCAAAAGAGGTATTATTATACCCAGATTTTCCAAGCAAAGACTCTAATTAGAATTCTCTTGATGAGGAATTATGAGACACAAACCGTTTTTTTTTTTTTTTTTGGTGTTACTGTCTGAAGAAGACAACCATGAACACCCAAGATGTGGAAAATGCACTATCCCAGCTTACTTATTCAGACATCTGACATCACCCCAAAACAGGGGTTTCCATCTGCCTGCTGGGATCTATTTTGTGGGTCATGGGAGTAAGTAAACTGAGGCAGGTGACCACAGGAAAGGATGGGATTTGTGAAAATTTCTGTGGAGTGACAGAATTCTTGCCCCAGATACCCCAGAATAGCTATACTGATGCCAGAAACCTCAGAGAGGGGTGCGCTGCAAGGCTCCCTTACCGCGATTGTGTTGCAAGAGCACAATGGTAGGATTGACAATCGTCGTGGAGGGATAGGCGGATGATGGCTTGCTAACTGGTGTAAAGGCTTGGGAATCAGTTCCAGTATGGGAAGAAGAAACTTCATTTAGTAGAGGACTGGAACCCTGGGGGAAAAAAAACAGTGTAACTGTAAACATAAGAAATCTAGAGTTAATACTTTTTAGAAAGAAGTTTAAAGCTTTACAAAGACCTTAATTATAAAAAGAAATGTAATCAGTGGAACCTGACATATTATTAATTCCAGTTAGAAGTTTAATCGGGAATGCTTATTCTCCTTGTTGGTATTAGTAGGGAGAAAGAGGGGGAAGGTAAATGTTACTGAACGTCTCAGCAATATCATTATTTTCACCTGATAATAGCTGTGGGTCAATCCAGTTACTGAAAAAGCAAATACAAAGTAGAATAACATGCAAAACCCATGCAATTCCAAATGCGATCCAAAAATGAGAACTGATTTAACTGAGAGAAACCAGGGAAGTTTAGTACACTGTGTAGAGAAATGTGAGAAAATGTAAGTTCAAGAAGACATGGATGTAAGAACAGGGAAGATTTGACAATGGTTCTCTTGGAAAGCTACTGTCAGCCTCAGCACCACTGAGCAATTTTACTAACACTTCTGAGATTTGGATATTATCCTATCCCACTGTGACATTTTTTCACTCTAATATTGGAGTGACAAAGGTCCCTAAAGACTTGTGAGAATCCTGACTTTTAAAAAAACCCTGAGGTCTCTGCCAGAAATACCAATAAAATTATTAATACTAACATTATAATATGCATCATGGGAAGAAGTCTTTCTAAGCAAATGAAAATAAGACCCTGAAATGTAGCCAGGATATTTAGACAGTTTCCTCCATCATATCCTTACATTTTGTAGTTTCTATTTTGGAATTTACAAACCCTAAAGTCAGGAAGTCTTTCTTAAAGGGCTTTTAAGAACAAGATTTTGATTGTTAATCTTAAAGCAATTATTCTCAATCAGAGATCAACTACTATGTCGGTGCCTGCGGGATGAGGACCATGTTTCCCCCTTCCTCCTGTCACCACCCCCAAGTACCTATGCACAATGCCCTACACAGGGCCTCAGTAAGTGCCACGTGAATGCCAGGAGCCATCTACCAGTGTGTGTTTGTAGCAAGAGCACACTTGCTCATCAAAAGAGAGGATATGGGTGTTGGTACCCAGAATAGCCCCAGACATACAGTAGGGACTTCATAAACACTGCCTTAACTCAGACTATCTCTTTTGAAAGTGCCCTAAATACCCACTGCTGTCAGTTATGAGTGGTAGCTCAATTTAGTAAATAAAACCTTTTCCTAAGACTTGAGAGGGGCAGTATGATCTTGTACAAAAGTGCCTCATCTGGATCCCTCCATTTATAAAGTAAAAAATAATTATACTTTTCCTAATTTATCTCCAAAGTGATATAATAAAGATAAATGATGTATCATTAAAAACTGCCTAAATGCACCCAAGAAACACAAAATGTTAGGCATTCAGCTCTTTGAATTATAAATGCCTTGGCTGGCAGGTAGCTCAGGTGGCTAGAGCACAATGTTACAACACAAAGGTCAAGGGTTCAGATCCCCATACCTGCCAGCTGCCAAAAAAAAAAGTATAAATACCTAATGTGATGTTTGGGTGGATTATATGAGCATTATTTTTACAAATTTTATACTGTGTCTTATTTCTGGAACACCACAAAAATACAGCTATTGACTGAAAGAACTCAGATCAATTAACATGACTTTTCTTCTTCCCCCTTAATCTCAAATAGCTGCAGAGGTTGCAGGTGCTACAGCTCAGACACCACCGACAGGGGCTCCTTCTCCTCTTGACAATTTTTATTCAGAGGAAGAATCTGAGCAGTCTCCTTTTTCACCTCTTACTCTATTACCCGGTTCCAAACCAGAAGTTATCAGGCCAACCATAGTCCTTCTGGGAAGTCTACACCAAGCTGATTAGTCAGGTTTGAGCAACTGAGGACAGTGATCTATCTGTCCTGGCACACCTGAAACAAACTCAATATAAGAACCTAGATCTACACAAATGATCAATTATAGGGTACACAACAAAACTACTCACATGGTATATGAGTGCACTAAAAATAAGACTCTTTTCAACTGCTGCTCTAGAGAAACACATTCTGTGCCAAACGGAAGATGCCTCTACTACTCTAAACAAGAGTGTTTCTAAATTCACCTAGAAGTTCAGCTAGGAGTTGGAGGTATATCAGGGAACAATCTAACATTTTTCTCCAACACGGTTCAGTTGCAAACCTCAAAGTTCAAAGGATATCCAAGCCCATGGGCCACATTTGGCCTCATCCTGACTTAACTACAATTGTGCTGCATCTAGAGATTTGAGATTTGATTTAATCTAGAGATTAGAGATTTGAGCCCAGAATGTAGCTTCAGTTGCAAACCTCAAAGTTCAAAGGATATCCAAGCCCATGGGCCACATTTGGCCTCATCTTGACTTAACTACAATTGTGCTGCATCTAGAGATTTGAGATTTGATTTAATCTAGAGATTAGAGATTTGAGCCCAGAATGTGGGAGTTCCCAGCTTTGGTGTGTCTGATGCCTCATTATAATATCTCTAATAAGCCAAATAAATAGCTTCCTTCCCAGTTTTGTATATTATGTTATAGTTAGAGGAGAGGCTTTTGAATGTTCTCACTACAAAGAGATGAGAAATGCATGAGGTGATGGATACCCTAGCCTGACTCAATTATTATACTATACATATGTACCAAAACATCAGATTATACTCCACAAATATGTACAATTACAGTGTAAATTAAAATTTTTTTTTAAAGGAATAAAGTTTTCTTCCTGCATTTTGCATGACTGGCTTCAGCTTAACAAGCCATTTAGGTCAGTTTTGTAGGAATATCTCTTTACACAGGGGGATGTCAGCGAGCATTTAGTTCCATGAGCCAATCGCTTGACTCACCAGATCACTGTATCTGGCAGTGATACAAAATGTAGTGTGTGGACTCCCTACACCAGAAACCCCCTGGGTGCTTGCTACCGAGTGAGAGTCCTAGGTCCCTCCCAGACCCACTCAATCAGAAAGTCCAGGACTGCAACCTGGAGTTGACCATTTAAACAGGCTCATTGCCCCTCAGATGATCCCATGTACACTAAGCCTGAGAACCCATACACTGCCCAAAAACACCCTGTGAGAGTAGGGGCCCTGGCTTGTCCATGGTTATATCCATGGTATCAAGCAGAATTCCTAAAATATGGTAGGAACTCAATGATTGTTAATTATCTGGTTACTTTTCAGCGACTCTTGCCCCCCATTTGCCAGGGCAAGTTCTCAGCGATGTAGCCAATGTTTATTGGGCACTTTCTCTATGCCAAGCACCATAATAGGAACTTTTACTACTCGATCCCACTGAACCCCCCAGCCCTTTGAGTATATCCATGTATTGCCATTCTACAACTTACACTGAGGGCGTTCTTTCAGATTCTCTCAATTGCTAGGGCTCCTGAGGAAAAAGTTGACCCAAGTACTTTGACTCGGCTTTTTCTCTAAAGCAGTTGGGCTTTACCACCTGTGATGGGGACTCATCCCCTCCCCACAGGATGGGACCTGAGGTGTCAGGGCCCTTTAATTTTCCATGACCACTGTGCACCATTTTGCCACAAAGGCCCCTAGGACCTCCTCCTCAGGGGCCCTGGCAATTGTCTTTTGAGAAAACTGTCCTAACCTTTGTTCAAGGTTTTCAAACTCATTTATTCAATTAAGCCCAACTTTTTTTTCTTAAACCCACTCTCTGCCATTCTGTATGTAAGAGTTTGTTTACTCACTAAATCAACCAAAGAGTGAATCTTTTCCTCCCCTAGAACCTCCCTGGCAAATTGTTCTGCAGCACCACATCTGCTGTTGGCTTTTCCACAGACTTCTCTAGCTTTCCTCAGCTCTCACCTTACATCTGCCTGGCTTAGGAAGAGCACAACCAGCCAAAGGACAAGCCGCAGATGTTTTCTCAGAGGGCGAACGAAGAGGTGCATGCCCAAGAGGACAGAGAAGAGGTATGAGAGAGACGCATGAGCAGCTGCGAGAGGCCCACAGCACACACGCAGGAGGCATGCACTCTGGTGACAGCAAACAGTTCCAGTCACCACACAAGCACAGCAGCAGCCAACGCTTTCCTCCCAACTTAGGACTTCAGTGAGAAAGGGGAGTTTGACTGCCGGGAGCAGACATTCCGGAAAGCTGCGGGGAGGGAAGTCCAGCAAGCTTACGGTACGTGAAACAGCTCCCGTGAGGTCAGGCTCCGAGACTCCGTGGAGGGCCTCCGGGATGGGAGGGACCAGCGGAGGCGGCGGTGAGAAGGATGGTGGTGTCTGGCTAACGGGGGGCAAGGAGCCAGGCGCACTGGCTGGCTGGCTGTGGTGGGGCCGCCTCTGCAGATGAGGGGGAATGAAATCATCTAGAGTCGGCAAGGTCAGAGGTGAGGCGGCGGAGGCGGTCGCCGGGACTGTGGGGATGTGGCCCAGCGGCCCCAGAGGAGCTGGAGGTCTGGCAGTGCCTTCTTGCCCTCTGTCAGTATTAACCAGGTAGAGAGGGACAACTATTACCTCGGGCTGGGCTGGGCTGCAGGAAGTGGCACCCTGTAGGAAATAAGGGGGTCGTTACGTAAAGGGGTAGGCAGAGAGGCAGGAACTCCACATTAAACAGTTGAGAGGGGACATGCAATGATGTACTCTGAGAAATATTTAATCGGTGCCCTTTCCTCACAGTACACGAGACAGTCGGTGCTAGCCAGTTGGCCTCCTGATAACTCAGTGACACAGAGGGAACCCCATCCAAGTTGACTTTCCATCATCTATTTTTGAATCCTTTTAACACTATGAGAAAGACAGAGAACAACAGAACAGGCAGGCAGGCTGTGTTTAACCCCACGAAACTGCTGTAGAGCCTGAAAGCTTGGGAGTAAATACAATTTTTTGGCATCTTGTTATAAAACATGAACACCCATATCTCATCATATCATTATTAGTCTATGGATTCCACGCTCCGGCATACTTACACATTTACGGAAAAGAGAGAGAAGGAAACAGAGAGAGGACTGTGCTGAGATGTTTAGAGAGAAGAACTCGGGGTTCAAGCCACAGCAATATTAACGAGGACAGGAAGGTAGGGCAGCCTGGAGAACAAACAAGCTGCTCGCATCAGTTTCGAAAGAGACGGAATAGAAGACACACAGACACTCCTAATTCCTTGCCTTGGCTGGATAACTCGGCTGCAAAAGGTAAGGTTCTTTGCTCTTCCGGTTTTCAGGATCAGAGGTAACCTGGGGGCCTAGCACAGGTGGTCTCACTGCATCTGGGAACGAAGCCCAAGTCCCCAAGGAAGGACTCTCGCCACGGTTAACGGCATCTTGGCGGATGTCAAAGAACAGCTTGGAAGGGTCAGGAGGAAGAGCAGGGGGTGGTTTCCCTGTGCCGGCTGTGGGGGAGACAAGGCTGGGAGCTGGTGTTCGGGTGCCCACAGCCTCCGAGGGAGTGCCTTTGGCCGGGTCACGTGCAACACGAGAGTTTTCTGACGCCGCCGGGCAAATGTTATTGGATAAACAAGGTACATATAAGCTGCTGACCTTTTTATTTCCAACTGCCTCATGACGCGGGTTAGAGCTCACATTCTTACTACAAACTGTCCTGGTGGCTACAGAGTGATGCTGGGGTTGGGATGAAGCACTAGGGAACGTGGAACCCAGAAGCGAGGGACCAGGACACACTGCACCTTTGGGAGCCGATCCAGCTGCCAGGGGGACAGAGATGGGCTGGGGATGTGAGGGCTTCTGCTGGCTGGGGGTGCTGGGTGGGATGTAAGGCTTTGGTGAGCGCAGGTAGAGGGAGTCCTTGTAGGTACTGCAGGTGGTGGGGGGCTGCCATGCAAAGCGCTCCTCTTGAGGGAGAGAAGGGTGTGGGGCAGAGAGAATCTTTAGCAGTATTTTCAAGATGCAATACCAAAACAGGAAAAAGAGAAAGAAAGAGGAGGGGAAATGGAAAGAAGGATGACCATTAGAAACAGCAGCACAACATGACCTGCACAAAAACAACTCCTGACACGTTTTTAAGCAAATCCTCAGGTTAGATTCATCATGGTGCCCACGTTTTTCTTCTGGGTAAAGTCAAGGACTGAAACATACTCACCTGGAAAAGCAGGCCTGACTCTCCCCTACATCCCAGGGAGGCTGAGCCCAGCCTATCATAGGCCATGTTCTAAGCCAATTGGTGCCAAAGGAACTGAATCCCAGTGGAAGAAACCCAGAGCCCCCAATTCCCTCTCAAACCTCCTTTCCTCAAGACTTCTCTTTAAGCTTTTGGCTTTATAAGTTTAAGTTGACTTCAGCACATCTGACTGCCTTTTATTCTTTTCCCTTAGGAAAAGAATTGGAAGAACCATCCTTATTTGTGTTCACAGGAGACAGATGTCTTAATTGATTCACGGAGATTCTGCACTCAATTCCATAAGCACAACAAGTTAAAACTTGCCAAGAAGAGAACGCTAACGACTTTGAATACACCTGTGCTCTTTTCTCACTGGAAACAATTTGATGGAACTTATTAGGAGGAGGACAGGCATGAGATTAAAAGTGCACCGTTTCCCATTTCTGATGCACACAGAAAAAGGGACCAGGCAATGAAGCACTACTGGATTGGACTGTGCCTGGCTTGCCAAATTCCAGCCCCATCCCCACCCAGCCCACCACCATGCACAGAGAATCAATCCCAGAGTTGAATAATTAGCCTCAGACTCATGGCTTAAGCCAAAGTTCCGGTTGCAGGTTCAGGGCTAAAGAGCTATAGTTCACATCTCATTTCCTCTCACCCCCAACACCGTTCCTCCTTGGGTCTCAGTGCGTCAGAAAATGAGGGGACTCTCCAGACAAACCCTCACTTCAATGAGTCATCTGCCAACCTGTAGCTCAACTGGGAATTAGACCATGAGATGAGGAAAGTTGGTTTTCCTAGATTTTCTTCACTGGTCCCTATCTTTAAAGATATCTCAGTACCCGAAGAAAACCAGAATCTTCCCCCAAATTGCACAGGTGAGGTATATCAGAGTTTGGTCAATATCTGGTAAATGGGTTGTGACCAAAACCTGGGAGGGTGCAAACATGTGGGTCTATCTAAGGTTGTTCTTTAATTTTATATTTTGTAAAGTACAGGTACCAAGGGGAAGGGATAGTAGAAAGGGTGAATAGGTGAGAAAGCTTTATGAGCCTGCATTAGAATATCAATCCAGAAACAGTAAATAACATATACCTTAAACCCAGTTTTCAAGTTACAAATAACCTAAATAGAGAGGTAGCTATTTGGGAATCCTTGGTTAACTCGACACCTGTCCCTTCCACAGGGCACCCATGACGGTGTCAGTGGAATGTGGCCGTATGTGTCAGCCAAAAATACAAAATGAAAAGCCCCTCTCCAGTACTCAGAAAGAGCAAAGACTTTCAGATGAACTCACTTGGTCTCAGTGAACTTAGACTAGAGTTTGGGGCATGTTTACAGACTAAATGATGCTCTCCAGAAACAAGACACCTGGACTAGCACGCACCAAACACAGTGAGGGTAAGCTGATAATGGCTGTAGCGAGGTAAGCAAAAGACTATTTTGATTTGGGCTCAGATTTACTTTTACTTTGAGCTCAAGTATCCCACATGTGACTTCTTGTCCAAAGATAGAAATCAGTTTCAATGAGTTTTTAACTTATTTTGGCTGTGGCCATATATGGTGCCGGGGCTGCATTACATCAGGCACAAGCCTTCCCAGGGCTCTGACCCTGTAGAGAGGACACTTCCCCAGAGCGATGACAATGCAATGAGAGCCAAAGGTCTTCCTGTCCTGGGGCCTCGTTTAGCCCTAAGGAGGAGGGTCAAGGCACAGTGACTTTACATGAAAGGAACTACTTTTTGGTTTATTGTAAATGTTGTAGGAATCACACAGGCAGTTTGCATTCCCGAGCAGATGGAATTCCATTTATCTTTTGAGAAGGTGGGTCAGTGAAAAAAAATGAGACTTCTTGAAAAATCTGGTATGTTTACAGTTTTATACAGTTTCAGAAACTACCAGTCCCCACCTCCACTGGGGACCACCATGATGATGATGATGTGAGAGAGAGGGAAACCCTGGTTCCCTGTTACTCAGGGTGGGAAGAGCAGGGCAGCGGGTCCAGGCTGGCAAGACACAGGATTCCCATACAGTCATGGCTCTCCTCGGCCCCAACTTAGTCCTCATGAGGAGATGCTATGCCTGTAGGGATCTGAGAGCTTTCTTCAGCTGAAACCAAGCCTGGAAAGTCACCAGCCTAGCCCATCTTGGCTCTGACTAAGCAAGTGCATACATAGAGTTCAGCTGTACAGACAAGAAGTCACGTTTGCATTCACGAAACAAATCCGAGAGGTAATGCATGACCTGAAGGCTCTTGAAACTTGAATAGCCAGAATTTCAATGACACTGAATATGCAGAGTAAACCCCATATCAGCAATTTACCAGGTTCCCTTTAATAAGCCCTAGTAAAAAGAAAATTCTTGGATAGTAACAGATAAAAAAAAAAAAAAACATCTGAAGGCTCTTGAAACTTGAATAGCCAGAATTTCAATGACACTGAATATGCAGAGTAAACCTCATATCAGCAATTTACCAGGTTCCCTTTAATAAGCCCTAGTAAAAAGAAAATTCTTGGATAGTAACAGATAAAAAAAAAAAAACACTGTCCATAGGAGATGTTACAGGATGCTAACCCTTGTTATATATAAGGCTCATCCTTAAAGTCCTTGAGAGCAACATTTAACATGGTGACCTGAACACAACAGAGATGCTCAATAAAGCTGTGTAAAATATGAGGGTTCCTCAAAAAGTTCATGGAAAAATGGAATTAAAAGACAACAAAAATCCTTCCATGAACTTTCTGAAGTACCCTCGTAAATATATTTAAAGGGAATTTTTATTAACTTCACATGCTTTTAAAATGATCTCTTTAGAAGAGCTGGTTAAGAAGGTAAAAGGAATTACTGAGTTACCCTTTGGGCTAAGTCACTGACAGTGGAAGAAGATATGCTTCCACATTTGCTTTGAATTAATTAGCACTGCTTTCTAATCTGGACAGAGCTGACTGTATCCATTCTTAAGATGGCTGAGCAGGAAGCGTATCTACTACACGCAGCACATTTATACTCTGGGGAAGTCTTCAGAAATGGGAACACCATGTTAAGTCATTTACCGTACAACTGACTTTCCCAAGTCCCTGTGTCTAATGAGGACTTCAGGAGGCCAGGCACATTCGCAGCTCCTGACTCCCACCAGTGGCCCTGAAAGCACACAGCTGTATTTAAGGGTCACATCATGACAGGTGGCAGAAAGCCTCAATGGTGCTGCTTAGCACACAAGGCAATTAGGTGACCACCTCTAAGCCTGGGAAGACAGGGGTCTGCAGAGAGAAAGGAAGGCATCATCTCTGACTCAAGTTCATTTCAGTGGCCAGTGCAATTTTATGTCCTCAGGAACAGGAGCCAGAGGATCGTTGGAAACAGGGCAGGAACTCAGAAGGACCTGCAAAATTTCCAGGCTCCTTGTGAGTTCTGAGAGCCCCTTCACAGAAGGCATAAAAGACCATAAAAGGAACACATTTCTGCAACATTTTCTGAGCAGTACAACTTCCTTTAAGAGAAGACTGCACCATTCTGTGGATGTGGCTCCTCCTGTAAAAAAAAAAAAAAAAAACATTCTTCACAGATCACCTGAATTAAAACAAGGTCATTCCTTTAATCAGAATGACAAAGTAGCAACAGAGAGGTGGAAAAAAGAAAGATCAAGAAAACCACACAGGGGGAAAGACTTAAGCAAGATTATCCGCACTTCAAGTTGTACAGCTTTGGGGGATTTTCTTTTGGAAGGGAGAACTAGGCTATTTAAGCTGTGCTGCCATTTTGACTTCTGTCTGCTCCTGGGCCACTGGATTTAGGGTCTGGCCACAGCTATCTGATCTTAATCTGTAGGGATAGTTACTAGAACTCTTAGAGCTCCACAAAAGTAATGGAATAAACACAGGTGCATTCTTCTCTCAAATGTTATACCCTAAAGAGTTTTTAAAAAAGATGCTTGGGCCTTTTTCCTACTAATTCAAGGCTAAATGGATTCCCTCTTTCAGAACATGTCCACATATGTATCAAATCTACAAAACATCAGGGCCTATTTCCAATGCCCTGGCACAGACCAACCTCGACCCATGCCTCTGCTCCCCTTTGCCCCAACTAACTCTGGTCCCCCTAACTCTGGTCCTTGCAGAGCTTTTCCACAGTTGGTCAAAAGCCTGGAAGCTATTCCATTATCCAGTTGGGCAAGCAGGAAGTCACAAGTCTAAGCTAAAAGACTCAAGAACAGGTACCACTCACCAGTCCCACCCTGCCCCCAGGCACATGCCTACCTGGAGCTTGTCAGAAGGAAGGTTGGGGTGCACACTTCGGTAGCCCTTGGCAGCGAGTGAAGAGGGCTGGGCATTTCCATTGGCATCAGCATTGGAAGAAAGCCTCCACTCATCTGAAAGATAGGGAAATAAGCCAAAAAACACCTATCACTCACAGTGAGCAGTTTCTGGTTCCCCTCTATTCAGGGGTCCCTAGTAGAAGGCAGGGACAAGGGACAAGGAACAGTGCAAGAGAAACCATACCTGCTGAGGAATTCTCTGGCTCCAGACCTAAGTGTGGTGCAGAAAGGATGAAAACAAGAAGAAAGGAGGGGGGGGGGGAAGAAAGGGTTACATTTACAGGAAACAAGCACGAACTGCAGAGAAGGATGAAAATCCAGCACCCCGTTGTCTGACACAAAATGCCCTCAGTCACGATGGCCTGATTACCATAGGAACCCACTCTAAACCATGATGTGCTCACAGGCGCTGACCTTTGAGAACACAAGGCTCACATTCACAGTAATGAAGAAACAATTGTCCCTTGACATTCTTATTTTACAGACAAAAAGGCAACAGAACTCTACCATCCAGTCCCTACTCACTCTCATTCCCCTTCCGCAAACCTGCTGTAGGCTCAGAATGACGGACCACTCATCATTAGGAGGCTGGGCTAATTAACAGACCTGGGAGAGGGAGAAGTGCATAAACCCTTTTCCAGGGATGGTGGTGCCGGGCTAGGGGTACAACATGATTTAAGCCCAGAGGCATCTGCTGTGATAAGGACTTTTTCCTCCCTGCCTGCTTTTATTCTTTCCATTAAAGAGCCACATACACATTTCAAAATGGAATCATGCTTCCTGAGTGTTCATCACACTACAAGGCACCCTTCAGCCTTCCCAGCCACTGCCCAATGCGTTTCAGAGACCCTACCCCTCTCCTAACTTCACCCACCTAGCAGCATGAGGCAATAGAGAACAATGGTTACAACCTCAGCTGGGAAGGAGGCTGGACCTCAATTCAAATCCTGACTCCACCAACTGCAGGCTCTGTGACCCTCAACAAGTTATAAGCCTCAGTTTGTCCATCTGAAAAGTAGGGATAACAATATGCTTGTTTCATAGTTGTTATAAGAATTAAATGATATAATGCATGAGAAATGCTTAGCACAAGGCCTGGTAGAGCTCAGTAAATGTTTGCTGTTCATCATCACCTTCTGCATTAGTTCGTCTCTACTCTTGAACCTCCATCTAGCTAAGGGACCAAAAACTTTTTCTATAAAGGCCCATGACAGTAAACATTTTAGATTTTGCAGGTGATGTGGCCTCAGTTGCAACTCTACCATTATAGCACAAAAGCAGCCACAGACAATATGTAAATGAATGAGCATGGCTATGTTCCAATAAACCAATAAATGCTGGACACTGAAATTTGAAATTTCACATAATTTGTATGTGGCATACAATATCATGCTTCTTTTGATTTTTCTTTCAATGATTTAAAAATGTACAAACCATTCTTAGCTCACAGCTGTACAAAATCAGGCCAGATTTCGTTCACAGCCCTAGTTTGCCAACTACTGATCTAGCCAATTCTTTAACTTCCTCCTCCTTCCTGGCTGCCTTCTCCCATCTCACCCTGTGTAGACATAAAGAGGGGACTAATACTGCAGCTCTCACAGCCCAAGTCTCCATTTCAACACAGGTCCCTCAGTTACAAGAGATGGGCTTTCCAGGTGTCAAGATGAAGTTTACAAACATTTATTGAACACCTTTCTAAGTGCCAGACACTGTTAGTCACTTCTGCACCTATATGGTATTCAGTTTAGTGTACACAACAATTCTGTGAGGTAGGTAATTGCTCTACTTCATGGATGGGGAAACAGAGGCCCAATGACTTGCCCAAAGTCACACAGCCAGAAAGTGACAGAGCAGTCAACCCAGGTCTTCAGAATCCAGTGCAGTGCTCTGCCCACCCCCAACAGCTGCCAACCACATCATAAGCCATGAAGTAGAAGTGACATTCCAGGGAAGTGGTGGGAACCAAAAGGTGTCGGAACAAAAGGCAACTCACGGGTAAAGGTTTTGAGGGATTTGCACAAAGTACAGCAGCGGTTTAGCTGCATCAGAATCACCAGAAGGGCCTCTTAGAACAGATCACAGGACCCCAATCCCAGAGTTTCTGATTCAGCAGGGGAGAGATGAGTCCTGAGAATTTACATGTCTAACAAGTTCCCAGGTGATGCTGAGGCTGCTGGTCCACAGCCCACACTTTGAGAAGGTATACTCGAAAACATCTTTATTTTGGAAAACTATACATTTTTTTATTTTTCCCTTCTCTAAAACAGTTTTTATAAGGTGACTCAGTTATACATTCTTTAGCAGGTTGCCTGTTACATTTCTGCCACTTCCTTCTGGACAATTCATAGGTATCTGTCTTCTCCTTGCCACACAAACACATGGTTGGGAAATTACCGGACTTGTGTTTTGGTCACATTACTGCAATGTACTGGTTTGTGTGACCAGGGACAAGTTTGTTAGCCACTCTAAATTTCACTTTTCTCATCTATAAAATATAATCCTCACCCCATACACCCCTCACAGGGTTGCTGAGGAATCAGATATTGGGTATGTGAAAGTATCTCTGAAAGTGACCATACTTAATTGTCACTGCTGCATTCATCAGACCCCAGCCCAGAAACATCCCCACACCTGGCAGGCCCTCAAACACTAGGTGACATGCTGTGACAATGGTCCTCTGTCCTCCCTCACCTCTACCACTTTTACTGTCCCATCTTCTTTTCTAAGTTGCTATTTCTAGTCCACCTTTGTAAAGTCATTCTATCAAATTTATTAGATTTTGTGCATACACTAAATATCAATAGGTTGTGAGTGAGGGGCTATTCAACAGAGGATGTAAACTTCATACAGTCAGCCTTCCATACCCATGGGTCCTGCATCCATGGTATTCAACTAACTGCAAATCAAAAATATTTGGGGGAAAAAAATTCCACAAAGTTCTAGAAAGCAAAAGTTGAATTTACAGCACACTGAGTACTGTGTTGAATCCACGTGAATAAAGTGATATACAGACATTGCATTAGGTATTATAAGTAATGTAGAGATGATTTAAAGTGTGTAGGAGTTTGTGTGTAGGTTATATGCTAATACTATACCATTTTATATCAGGGAGTTGAGCATGCATGAATTTTGGTGTCCATAGGGGTTCCTGGAACCAATTCCCCATGGATACAGAGGGATAACTGTATATGGATTTGAGGACACAGTATTTGTCCACTTTTTGGTTCTCAGTTGATTGGTTCTATTTAGGTGACATTCTCAAACAGATGCATCATGGACAGCTGAGATGTGATTGTCCTTCTAAACCACCAGGTATCATAAAGAAACTATCACTATCTTGTTAACTACACATCCTGCAGAAAAAAGCCTAGCCTCACCTGTGAGATGGAGATAATATCTACCTCTTCTGAGTCATGAGGACTAAATGAAAGTATCTGGCATAAAGTATGTGCTTTATAAAATCAGAATCCAAGCATAAGGAAAAAAAAAAAATCCCCCCATAAATCAAGTAGAGTCATTGATCTCTGCCATTTGACAGCTTCAAGAACATAACATCCTTGAGGATCAACCTACTTTATCTCATGCTAAATCTTTAAAACTGTTCCCCTCGCCCTGCCCCCAAAAAGGCAGTTCCCAATAACAATTCAAGTGTTCCTGTCTTCTTCATTAAAGGAGAGCCATATATCTGACGTTTTATCACCCTTTATCTGTTACCTTGTCTTCCGATCCCGGAAGGTTGGCAGCAGCCCAGGGCCATTTGTGCCTGAGTGCAGCAGAATGAAATTTTACATACATAATCAATTATTAACTCCTGATTGAAGAGACTGTCAAAACACTTCTTTCAATAAATGTTACCTTAGAGCTCCTAAGATGGGGAAGGGCCTTGAAAAGCTGGATCTTAGATAGGTTTTTTCAGCCCTAAGAAACCTAGCCTTTCTGCAGGAAGTATATTTTGCCTTGTATTTTCCTACATCTGTTCTTTATATACAATTTTATCTTTATTTTAAATAAAACGTAAATTGTATTTAACCTCCTAATATTTTCTTTTATCTCATCCTGTGCTCATTTCATTTTGGCCTGTTCTAAAGTTTTTTTGCTGATCAGTTCTTCTTGGGATCTTAGGATAATTTCCACTGACTCAATCTTGATGTGTTCTGGTAGAGTATTCAAGAGTTGGATAACAGGTGTTAAAAGTGGATCTAAGGGTGTTCTAAACTTTGTGTTTATTTTTCATTCATGTTGTGTCGTGGAGAATGTAACTTTATCCAGAAAAAGGTCTGGCTTTTGCCCTCCGCTTCTGGGAGGTAATCTCTAAGCACTTGGAATGCCATGCCTGATAGGAGAGTCTTTGCTTATCTGGGGGCTTTGAGCCACACTGGTAATGTGATTTCAGGTAGCGGCTTTGAGCCATCAAGGACTCAACCTCCTAATGAACTGGAGACAGAGACTGCCACATGCACAATGGGTCATGCCTACATAATGGAGCCCCAATAAAAGCTCTGGATACAAAGGCTCGGGTAAACTTCCTGGTTGGCAATACTCCAAGCATACTGTCACACATCAATGTTGGGAAATAATGTGTTCAGACTCCATGGGGAGAGGATAACGGAAGCTCCGCATTTGGTACTTCCCCAAACTCCACCCTATGTGCGTTCTTTCTTGGTGGATTTTAGTCTACATCCTTTTCCTTTAATAAACCGTAACTGAGAGTAACAGCTTTCGATGAGCTACGTGAGTCCTTCTAGCACACGTATTGTAGAACTTGAGGGTGGTTTTGGGAATCCTCTGAACATGCAATTGGTGTCTGAAGTGACACTGCTCTCTGGTGGGGACTTTTCCCTCAAAGTTCTCAGTTGGCCCTAATTCTCCACATTCACTGATAAAAAAAGACTCTGATTTAGTGGGGGTAAGAGATACCTTTAACTGCTTCAATGTCAAATTTCTTATCTTTTTGCTACTGCCATTTCTGGAGAGCAAGTGTGAGACTCAAACCAGAGGAAATGAGTTGGTTGTAGGTCCAAGAATCTTTATGTCCAAAGCTAACTTTGCAGTCAAGAATCAGGCAGAAAGGACTGGAGCCAACTGGCACAGAACTAACAAAATGTCAGGGCTGACCTGGAACTTGGCATCTGAGTCAGAACACAGGAACGGATGTATCAAGCCCCAGGGGCTTCAAGCTATCCCAGACAGGAAGTTTGGTTTCGCACCCCCCATTAGCTCAGGCTCCCCGTCTCCTCTTGAGTAAAAACACCCTGACCTGGGACACGGATGGAGGTTGCTCTAAACCAACATGGCCAACACCCAGACCTGGACAGGCAGTGAGATCAGGAAGCAGGGATACGTAATGAGGCTCTTCCCAGGAATAGAGAGTCAGTACTAAGATTACTGCCGTTCTTTTCAGATGGTTCTGATCCCAAAACCAAGGTCCACATTCAGAGATGAGGAGGCTAGTCAGGAAGCCATGGTCAGGGATCTGGAGTTGAGCTACCACTCAAAAGCAGGAGTCTAGAGAGCGGGTTTAACCTGGGCAACTCTGGGGACTCCCTCTGTCACTCCACCCAGGGAATGTCTCCATCCTCCCAAAGTTCACTTGGATGCAGATAACTCCCAAGTCCACATCTTGGACTCCAAATTTCCAAATGCCCATTGGAAACTTTCTTCTAGAGGCCGTTCCCTTGCCAAAAAACTCAACACAGCAAAAAATGGAATTCAACATTCCTTACAACCCCCTTCACAATCCCCCCATCTCCATGAATGCCACAATGATTCTCCCGGCCAACCAGGGAAGACACCTCCTGGTCAGCATGAAGTCCCAGCTCTACATGGTTCCTTAAATAAACTGCAGCAAGCTCTGTCACTTCATCCTCTCCAATGCACTTTCACCCTTGGTCCCTGTTCATTCCCCCCACACGAAGGTCATGGCCTCACACTGAAATTATTTCAAGTCTTTAAAGAGGCCTTCTGACCTGCAGTAACTAGAATGGTTACTATTAAAGAGCCATTTACCATGGGCCTGTGTTAAATGCTTGATGTGAAAGAATTTATTTAATCTCAACAACTCTATAATAATCATTCTCATTTTACAGTTAAGGAAACTGAAGCCCTCTGAGGCTGAGTAATTTACCCACATCACAAAGATAGTAAGTGGCTGAGCTCAGCCTCGATAGAGGACTGTGTGACTCAGGAAATATACCACTTCTCCTGGGATGAGGGAATTGGAGCAAAGACTAGAAATAGGGGACACCCCTGAGATGCAGGTGTCAGGAGGCCATGTAAGGACTGGTGCTTCCAGTCAAGGCAAATAATCAGCAACCTGGAGACCTACAGTGAAGGAAGAAGGTGGTAAAGCCAGAGAGCAAGGCAGAGAGAAGGCAGACAGAGCAGCTGGGGGACAGATGCTGGCTCTGGTGATAAGGGAGGCAGCCAGACGCCATCTCACATTAGCTATCTGCAAAGGCACTGGAAGTAGGAAGCATGCCCAATCCTTGGCAAGGGCCACTCGCTGCCTCCCACTTGGGCTCCCAGTCCAGCCTAGGCATAGCTGCTGCAAATCCTGCTGAAAACTGTTTTCATGAGGCCAGTCAAGGCCCAGGGCCCCCAGGCCCCAAGGCAGGATTGGAGACTGGCATGGGCCAGCAAGTTGTCATCCAGAAGTTCATAAGGAGGGAGTAGGCAGGGGTGAGAAGAGGGCTGGGAAGCCACATGGACACAACCAGAGCTAGAAGGAAGCAGGATGCTGGCCAATGGGCAGTAACGTAAGAGGACACGATCCCCATTCCTGAGTATCTCATCTCTACAGTCACATCCTCTTTTAACCTCACTCCCCAGTGTTAATCCATTCTGACCTTCCTTGAACGCATAATGAGTGTGTGTGGTTTTTTGTTTACTCAAATCAGGTTGTTCCTTTCCACCCAAACCACCCCACCATACAATCTTCATTTTGTCCACCATCAATGAATGGGATTCTATTTGTGTCAGGTTAATTTCCAAATCTCCCAAATTCACGGAGTATTTTGGAATGAAAAAGTCCTGGAAAGCATCTTGCCCAACTCTCCTCATACTTCATACAAGCTTCCAAGTCACTGTGACATACCCACAGTCAGAAAGCAAGGTAGCAGGCTACAAGCCTGTGCCTGACTCTTCCTTTGCAACAATCTGCCTTTTGCCCTCAACTAATGAATCCAGAATTACTCTCCTCCACCTCCCCCCCACCATTTCTCATCACAATTCCCAGTGAATTAGTACCTGGCACACAGATGATGCTGAATGAATGTATTCTCATTGGAAGTCAATGGTCTCAGCTTACCAGGAGGAAAATATCAAGATTAATTTACTGTAAGGTGTGAATTACTGGTAGTGATCACTTAATTCTTCCAAATATTTGCATTGTAACACAATTTGGTGAAAAAGAATTGATGTTTTTCACTAAAATTGGTCAGTAGAAAAGATACAGAATTATTTTGAGATGAGAGAGCACTTCCTAAAGTGCTTCAAATCCACACACAGTACCAGTAGCACAACCCTGAAGTGTGGCATTAGTGTTCTAGTTACTGCCACACTGTAACCACTAGAGGGAGCTCAAGGCTCCCTTTCCTCCACCTGCTCCATTCACTGCCAGAGGACGGGCCAGGTGGTTGATAAGGTCATTTTACTGGGCCATGGACCTGCAGGTATGGCTTTCTTTTTGGATCATCCCTTAGAATTCTCTCTTCCCCAAATGTCCTCCAGCTTAGGAGCTGGATCTTCCCAGTTAGGCTCAGAGAGACTGGATTAGGTTAGCCTTAGAAAGACATAATTTTGTTTTCTCTTCTCACCCCTACCTTTCCTGGACAGCAAACTATAACAGGTCAGGAGTGAGCTCATGAATACAGGGGAAAAAAAGCAATTCCATCAACCTTAAGTGCCCTCCCTGAGCCTGGGAATATAGAAGCCTTCCATAGGGACCAAATGACCAGGAAGTGGCTTGTGCTTAAGCCCTAGCCTGGTCTTGTCCTGGGACATCTGCCTTGGCACCTGTTAGAGGTGGCTGTAACAGGAAGGAAGGACAAGAAGAAAGTTTCCAGGATGCTAGGCAGTGACCATATCCATCCCATATAATTCCATCCTGTCACAGCACACCGCTCCTGTTGTACCAAATGGTTTGCGTACCCTATGTCCTTTCCTCTCTGGATCCAAGGCAGTAGTCATCGCATCCCTTCATTCTTTCAAGGAAAAAAAAAAACCTCCCATCCCCTATAATGGCAGCTCTCAACTGTGGTCCATGGACCAGCAACATCAGCATGACCTAAGAACTTGTCAGAAATGCAAAACCTCAGACTACAAGTGGGAATCACAAATTCTGAAACTCTGGGCTGGGGCCAGCAACCTATCTTTTCATCCCAGGTTAGTCTGAGGCAACTAAAGTGTAAGAACCACTGCCCAACGAAGTGGAGGGGCTGCCCCACCCAAAACTAACTGTGCCTGTGGAACCTCAAGTCAGCATTTCCCAGGTCCCAGGATGCTTGGGCTATGAAAAGCCCTCTTCAGAGAAGCCAAAATAATCCTAATCCCAATCCAATAACAGCAGCTACATCTAACAGTTTATTCCATGCCACCAGGAAAGGTGTAAAACACCTCACTACTACTTCCTCGCAATAAGCCTATGCGGCAGGTGCAATTATCAACCCCATTATACAGGTGGATCATTACGTTGCAAGAGAGTAACTCAGTCAAGGGTGCACAGCCAGCAGGTGGTGGAGGCAACATATGAACACAAATCTATCCGATTCCAAGTCCCTGGTCTAAACCTAAACACCACGTACTAGACACCCAGGTTTCCTGAGATATGGATCAGGGTGGGGAGGCAGGCTTCACACAGGTTCCTTTGATCTCCCTTTGCACTTAGTTCATACTGGCCTTAGAACTGCCATTCTGATTTTGCTTCTTCAGCTGCCCAGTCCCCACCAGAGGGCTGAGCCCCACCTGCCACTGCTTTCTGGAGAGCTAAGCCACTCAGCCATCTGCATTTCTGTCTCCCCTGGCTTCTTCTCCAGCCCAGCCCTGCCCGGACAGGTCACAGCCTTCAGCTGCCCAGTCCCCACCAGAGGGCTGAGCCCCACCTGCCACTGCTTTCTGGAGAGCTAGGCCACTCAGCCATCTGCATTTCTGTCTCCCCTGGCTTCTTCTCCAGCCCAGCCCTGCCCCGACAGGTCACAGCTGACCCCTGGCAGGCAGGATGAGCTTAGAGAAGCCCAACCTCTAGCCCATCTCACCACCTACTCCCATGCCCCTAAGCTACCTCTGTCCATACAAATGCGATCTGTAGAGCACTGGCTCTTGTAACAGGGTTATCTGCTCAGTCAAAGCTAAAATAAAGTGGTAGTCACAGCCATGCCTTCACTTGAAGCATGCGACTACCTGTCAGTTCAAGGATTTGACCCCTCACTACCCATCACAGAAGGGACAAGGAGCTGACTGTCCGAAGGGCCCCTGAGAAAATCAGGAGGCAGCTGATGAATTCACACCCCACCTGAGCAAAAGCACAAGGGCCTCCTTCCCATATGGCTTTGAACATATCCCCCCAGTCTTGGGGTAGCATACCTGGTTTGCTTTCATGTTGCGGGGTTTCCTGAGGGCTCACAGGGCTACTGCTCGGGATTTCCCTGTAGGAGGACGAGGCCCGGAGAGTCACTGCTCCCTTTCCAGTGCAGATTTTTGTAGGATCCATATCTAAAAAGAAAAGACCCAAAAGAGAAGTTTGAATCCAAGACTACTGAAGGATTTAAGCAACAACGGTCAGTCAGCAAATTGTGTCAGGGAATGAGATGAACCTGGTTATAGCCAAGCAAAGTCTTCAAACACTTGCAATCAATGAAAATTAATCTGTGGTGGATGGAGAGGGACAATCATATTTCCAAAGATTTGCCATGAATCATGAGGTTAGGGAGAAATGGAGGGATGGTGAGTTCTGAGCAAATGTACGAGTTACAGTATCAGCTGAAAACATTTCAAAATGAAAGCAGGTTTATTCCTTTTATTAAATGAAGTTTAAGTTGTTGAGCAGGCTTCTGGCCAATTAGTAAGGCACAGTTCAAGAAAGTTTATGAAAGACTTCTCAAGCTCCCAGAACACCTTCTTATAAAAGAGCAAGTTAGCAACAGAGGGAGTCAGGTGGATGTTCTGCAGAGAATCACTGCTCCTTGCAGTTCTCCAGTGGGAAAAAGGAAAAGTCTCCATGTATCAGCAAGTCAAGACCCCTGAAATGATGAGACAGAAGGATGAACTGCCTGGGGAGAAAACTCATGGGTGAGAGCCTCACATTCCGAAAGGCTAAATCCTTCAATGAACAGTGTCCACTGACCCTCAGCTGAGTCTTCACAGGGTCCCGACCTCTCCTACAGTTTCAATAGGGCCTAATAACAGACCCAGAACATCTTTTAGAGTTCCCTTAAGGAGGACTTCAAAATAAGCTTCAGAAGATCTGGATGCCCACCTCTAGGAGAATCAGTAATGGGGAGGCAAGAAACCGATACAAACCATGCAGTTCTAGAAGGCACACATGCCAAATGTTTCCTTATGTGCAGCTGAGCTAAGCCGAACTCCAGTTGTTTTTATTTGTTTGTTTTTCTTCCAAATTGCTCACAGCCCAGATCCCTATCCATCCCCATTCCTGTGTGAGGGCAGAGAAAAGCAAAGCCTCTTTTCTCCTTGCTTTGCACTCCAGCAGCCCCCTTTCCAACAACTCAGACAGATGATCATTGGTGTTACAGAGGAGAACAGACCTGCCTTTCAGCACCTCTTCTATTGAAAGCAAAACAGAAAACCCACAATGTATGGCGGAGCAGGCCTTGGAGAGCATCTGATTTATCCAATCCTATCAAGAGGCTAAGTGACTAATGTCACAAAACTACTGGGAAAACTGGTTCGTGGTCACTTCAAAAGGATACGGGGTAAATTGGCAAATCCAGTCCATCCGCAAGTTCCTGGATGCATGGCCAGATTTGTCCAACTTCTGAAAGCACTACTGGATAAAGTGCCACCTAGGCCTCACTTGTCCTACTTTGTACAGAAGGAAGCTATGAGCTGGAGCTAATATCTAAACAACTTCCCCCTCCCCTTGGAGAGGAGAGGCAGGAAGTGCCTGTAGATGAAACTGGGGATGGGGCAGGGGTTCTCTAGGAAATGGCTTGGAGAGCACCAAAAGGCAAGTCTAGGTTTGGTGTCTAAGGTGGCTGCATCAAATTCAGCCCAGTTCAGAGGTTCCCTATGAGGCCAAGTTAATTCTTGGGGGGACTAGGGTTTTATGTAAAGTACTGGGAGGAGCCTAAGAAGTCCATGCTCCTCAGATCCACTCCAGAGTGAAAGTTTAGCCTCTGGACTGACCCTTCTGAAGAAGGGAGAGGCAAGGCTTCTGTCCCCAGTTCTTCCCCACACTCGCTGGCTCCCAGAAACACACACACAGGCTTCTGTCCCCAGTTCTTCCCCACACTCGCTGGCTCCCAGAAACACACACACACACACACACACACACACACACACATTGACATACACACACAGAGGAAGAAAGGAAATAAACTGAGGAAGTGAGAGGAAATGCCTCCTAACCATGCAAAGACTAAGCCTCAAAGTATTTGTTAGAAAGAAGAAAGGAAAACCATGCATGATCTGCTAAAAATTAAAAAAAAAAAAGAAAAAAAGAAAGAAATGACCCAAGGAGAGATACCTGTAAGGAGTACTAGGCCTGAAGCATTTTTCACTGTCTTCACAGGAATTATTTTAACAGAAGAAATAGCGCGTGCACGTAAAGGGTCGGCAGTTGCTGAAAACACAAAAGGGTAAATGGTGCAGCCAGAAAGAACATTTGGGAAACACTCAGGCAGCTGAGGAACTGGGCAGGGACAATAGGAGGAAGTCGCCCACACAAAAAGAGCAGGAGATGCAGTAATTAAAAATAACCTGCTTTCTCTCTTTAGAGTTCTGGGCCAAGACAGCAGAACCCTCCCTTCAACCACCACCCAAATACAGTTGGTCAGTGTTGATCGGTGCCTCCTGCCACACCTGGAGCTTGCCAAGGCTCTGGACAAAGAGATGTACAGAGACACAGATGGCCTGACAAACAGAGGAAGAGAACAGCAATCAGGGTCCAAGGGGCCCCATGGGAGAACGCTGGGGCATCCGTGCTGGGGGAGAGCTCAGAGGAGGAGAGCTGCAGCTCACAGGCTCCAGCTGAGTGCAGGAAGGAAAGACAAGTTCATGAGCTGCCTGCTCCCTTCAGCCACCACAGATGCTTCCCCAAAATCGTAACTTCTGGGTCCTGTGCGCCAGCTCTGACAATGAGAATCCCCTGGCCCCAAGCAAATCAGTATCCCCATCTGTTGGGCAGCAGATGGTCTTGCTTAAAACCTACCTTGTCCTGAGCTGCCTGCTCCCTTCAGCCACCACAGATGCTTCCCCAAAATCGTAACTTCTGGGTCCTATGCGCCTGCTCTGACAATGAGAATCCCCTGGCCCCAAGCAAATCAGTATCCCCATCTGTTGGGCAGCAGATGGTCTTGCTTAAAACCTACCTTGTCCTGGGCAAGAGATGCTGAGTGTCCAAGTGCATGCTTAACACTCTGGGCAGCACCCAAGTGCACAGCCCAGGATCTTGGCACCCAGTTAAGGTAGAACAGGAATGCCTGCCTGGGAGGCAGTGAAGGCTGCCATCCTCAGGTCCTGGGTGCCTATGCTTATATATCTGCAGGGTTCCTGAGCTCCCTGCCTGCCTGGATCCTGCTATCTCAATGGTGGGCACATCCCTAAACCCTCCTCACAAGCCTGTTGTGAGGCCTCCCCTTGTCCTCTTTCTTTAATGGCAGCCAAAAAAAAAGAGAGATGGGAGCTCTTGTGTTATGGTGCCAAAGTCACCCCAATGAGAGACACCCAGAGGTCTTGCAGCCCCAGGTCCACAGAATAATGGGGTACGGCTGTTGGGAACAAGACTCACTCCTAAATCAGCATCATGTTGGCAAGACTGTCAAGGGGGTGGGAGGACGGAGGGCGGCACCTCAGTGGTGGACAGTGCACCTTCCAGTCCATCAGGCTGCCACTGCATAAGGCACATAGCAGTCATATAGTGTATGGCCATCAATAACTAAGTTGACAATGATGATATCGCATGTATTAAGATAAAAACACTTTCACAGCAATCCTGCTGACTGCTCCTTATGATCATCTGGGGAATTAGCTGGTGGGAGATTTTTTTACCATTTTCAGAGGAAGAAAAGAGGCTAGCCAACTGCTCTCGAGTGCAGAGCCTAAAACTGGAGCTCAACTATCCTGGCTCCTGGTTCAGTGACCTCCCCAGTCTACCCTGATGACCTTCAGGTTACACCTGCCTCCTTGTTTCCAGCTAACAGTGAGTCTTACCAAGGAAAAAGCAGAACCCACCATCACGTGTTGCCCTCCCCCAACATCTCTAAATCTCTTATATAAATGAATTCACAGAAACGGGGTTGATAGCCCCATGGGCTGTAAATGCACTGGAGCCCCCACCCTTCCCCATGCTCCTCACTACATGCTTAAACACTCACCTGCAGCCACTCCATGGGCACTGCCTTCAGTATTCCCTATGCGCAACTTAGCCAAAACAGTCCAAGACCCCAAGAACACAGGAGACACAATCCCACACCATGAGTGGAACGGCAACCAGGGAGGAAAGGAGAACAGGACAGCAGCAGGAAATCTCCCACCCCCAACGAGCTACCCCACACCACTGGGCCCCCACATCCCTCATCTCCTCCTGCTGTCTAGGCCTCTGACTTTGCCCTGTCTCAAAAGAAATACTTGGCTAAACCAGCTGGAAGTGTCAAAGGCCAAAACGTCAATCTCTTTGAAATTATTCTTTGAGAGGGGTTGCATTTTGATTTAAATTCCCAATGCCAGAATTTTTGCCCTTTTTCTTTGATGCCATAAAATTTACTTGGATAAGCATTTACAGAATCGCTAGAACCCAGAATTTGAAGCAGGAAAGTCATCAAAGTTCCTCATTTTGTACGTAAGGGAACTCACACCCTCAAAGATAAAAGACCTCCCAAGATGTCTCTGAGTCCCTCTGCCAGGACCCATATCTCATCACTCAAACCTGAGTGCCTGTCACATCACACTGCAAATGTGATACCACCTGCCAGGCTATTTGAGAAGGTCAGGATGAAAGTCTCCAGGGCAAACAGGACCTCAAAGGTCATCTTATCCATCATTCATTTCACATTTAAGTCTTTTATGCTAAAAATTTTTTTTAAACTAAAAATATGAGAGGATGTACATGAAATTAATGCCACTGAAGTTATTTTAATGATTTAGGATCTTGCCTCAGGGTTAGGATTGTGAACACGTCGCTATTTATTACGGGTGAAGATGAAATGCCAGGTAAGGGATATTTCAGGCTGATAAATGCCCTGTGCACCAGACATGAAGTGCGCCTCAGTCCACCTATCTGATCTGTCATTCACAGCATCCTTGTGAGCTAGGGACAGTTTTTAATACACCACCTCACAGTGGGACACTGACAGCCTCAGACGCATGAGATGCAAGAACATGCTTCAGTTCTCAGAAAATCGGCATGGGGACAGGTCTCCAGTTCATGGCCTGATTAGGCCAACAATGTTCCCACCAGGCACGTGGGGTGGCCCCAGCCTGGTATACTCTACACATTCTAGAAATGGGTTCCAGTACTGGGGCTGCTCTTCAAGAGACTTACCTTTGTCTTGCCCATTGCTGCCAGGAGCCAAGCCATTAACCACGGCTTTAGATGCACCAACTTCACATTCTGAAAGAAAGAAACAGCACGAGGTTTGTGATTACGCCTCACAAAAATCTACTGAGTCCCATGTGGTACAAGGGCTAGGGACAGACTTGAGAGACAGCAGAAGGGTCCTCCCTCACAGACCCTGCAGTGGTTCCATCCACCCCCTGCCCCCAAGCATATGCCCTTGGCTTTCTCAGACCTGGGATGGGCCCCCTCAGGCATCGCAGAGAGTTCCAAGAATGCTGCTTGGCCTGAGCCAGGAGAGGGGAAAAAGCTGTTTGGGGATAGGAAGTGAGTTCCTGATGATGGCTCCCCTTCTGACATTCAAAAAAATCCGCTTAACTCCCTCAAAGTGGCATCTCCTGCCTGACCAAGGCCTATCTACCCACTCACAGGCCAGCCCAGATGTTTCCCTGTGCATCCAGAGTGCAATGTGTCAGGCAACCAGGACAGAAACCCAGGCTCTTCGACACTTTCCTCCACCCCACCCCACATCCCACTTGTCAGCGTCATGCTGTCCTTCCCATGAAGTGTCTTCAGACACCGCCCCTCCTCACCACCCCGGTTCAGGTCCTCGTGCTACTGTCCAGCAGCTTCCTGACTGCTCTCTCTGCCTCCTGTCTGCCCCTCCTCTAACCCAACCCTCAGTCTGCAGCCTGAGAGCACTTTCTGGACCCTAACCCAACAAGCCCTCCCCAGGCTAAAAAGCCCCAGCATGCAGGACAGATGGAAAGAAAATGGAACTCTGCAATATGATGCTCTAAAACCTCTTTGCTTTAGATATACTATATTCCACCTTGTTTTGAGAATAAACGTTTGGGGACTGATAGTAGGAATTCAATCATTTATAATGTTATTTCCATAGGGGGAAAAATACATTTTAGGTCCCCCAAAGTGTACAAAGATTGTTTGGAATATAACTCTGTTATATTGTTTGGAATATAACTCTGTAGTAAGTAGGATGACCTATATCTTGGCATACCTGATTATATTTAAATTAAACTGACTTTCTTGATAATTAAAAACCAACCAACCTGCTACCTAGAGAACAAAGTCTGAGCAACTTACCCTGGTTTCGAGGCTCTTTGACCACCAGTCCCATCCCCTTTTCAGATGTGTTTCCCACCTCTCCCTGCCTACAACGCTGGTTTTAACTGCTTGAGCAAGTCAGATACTGTCAGACCTGTAGGCCTTGTTTAGTATAAGGCCCAACCAAGAATGCCTTCTCCCCTTTTCTTAGCTTGCGGAAATCCTATGCATCCTTGAGGCTCCCCTTGAATGTCACCTCCTCTGTTTCAGCTGAGACTTTCCTGAGTTCTGCTCAGCTACAGACACTGAGACCCTCCCTGCCCATCTACAGCCTAAGCCCCACCCTGTTCCCCATCCCAAAATAGATGGAGACAGGCCAGGAAAGACAGGCAGGCAGGCAGGCAGACCCTGTCACCCTAGGACACATGGCCAATATGCTTGGAGAGACCCCTGACAGCCAAGAACCAACCAAGCTACCAACATAATCATAACTAGCTATGGGTTTTTAAACCTCAATTTGCCTAGATCTGAGGACCCATGCTTAGCATTCCATAATTAGCATCTCATTTTATCCTTAAGACCCAGATCTCTGGAGCGAGGTGATAGGAGCTAGGAACTCCTATTTTACAGACAAGAAAATTGAGATCCAGAGAGGATGCCAGGCCTGCCCCAGATCATTAAGCTGGGACTTGAACTGCCCTATCTCACAGCACATCATCTCCTTCCTCCCCAAATGAGATAAACATTTTGCTTTCCTGATTTATATTCTGTTTCCCCAAATGCTGAGAATAAAGCCCAGTCCCAAGCCCCGGTAGCTCATCATGCTGGGACCAATTCACCCTCACCTAGGCTCTTAACGATGAGCACCCCAAATGGCTGGTGGCCTGACATGAACCATGCTTGCAGGCCTGCCTGGTGCTGCCTGCATCTAGATGCAAGCAGGACTCCGAATACTGGGATTATCAGGTCAAAGGGTCCAGAATTTTTGGACTCTTCTTAGCCAATGCACCCTTCCAGCACCTCACCTGAGAGAGACACCCGGGAGAAAAGTTCCCCAGGTATTTCCCTCACCTTCCTTCCAAGCCCCTCCCTTCCTCCTCCTCTTGCACTTATCGTCAGGAGTAGCAATGCCAGTTGGGGTTAATTCTGACCTTGGAAGTTTTGCTGCTGAGCAAAACAAAAGGGGAAAGAAAGAAAGAGAGAGAGAGAGAGAGAGAGAGAGAGAAAAGGAGAGCGAGAAAAAAAGAACGAGAGAGAGAAAGAGACAGAGAAAAGAAAGAAAAAAAAAGAACGAATCCACCTTGGACTGTTTTAAATGACAACAAAAGCAAAAAGACAAAGAGACAACAAAAATTGAGTTATAAAGGAGGAGCTGCTGGCAGGAGAACCCAGTCCACTAGTCCACTTGGAGGGGAAAAGAAAGTGAACAGCCTCTTCATGCACAGCAAAAGCACTCAAGGAATCAGGCGTTAGCCAAGTCCTTCTCTTTGCCAGGAGAAACTCTGGGCTGTTAACAGTTAGAACCCACGGATAGAGTACTTGCCACACTAGATGCAAGCAGGGCCGGCGCCCCTCCCCATCCTGGCCCCACAGGCTGCATCCTGCTAATTGCCCACATCCACATACACATGAATACTCATTCTCCTAGATGCCAAAGTCTCCTTTGAGCCCTCATTTCCAGGACGGGTGGAAGGAGGGTGCTGGTGAAAAAGCAAAGCATGAAGGTGAGCAAACTGCCCTCCCAGCCCAAATGAAGGAAGTGTTAGATTAATTCACACCCAGGGGCAATTATGGTCGATCTGTCCACTTCTGCTGGAGTCACTTGGATTAAGAAATGTCGCTGAGGTGTATACATATGGTAACACTTATCAAATTGTATACTCAAAATAACTGCAGTTTATTGTATGCAAATTATATCACAATAAAGGGAAAGGGGACCATTGTAAAGATTAGGACACAGTACATGTACATCGTATGGCATAGTTCTTGATATATCAACAATGATGGTGATGATGGTGATGATGATAATTTATGACAAAGCTTTGGCACTCACCTAGGTTCAAAAAATAAAAAATAAAATGTCACTAGAGGCTTTGAAGCATGTGGGAAATCTGAGTAAACTGCCCAGTTTCATGGATTTCACAAAAAAAAAAAAATCTGAGCTTAGAATGACTTACCAGAGCTCATGGTGGTATAGCAGGACAAGTCTTCTGCAACCGGGCTCTGAATTTCTCTGCAGAAAAACAAATACCACACAACGGAATTGATAAACAGCAGGTTCAAGACAAATCCCTATGGTTAGTATTAAAAATGCAAACTCTGTAACCCTTGATAAAACAGCCGAACCGGGAATCGCTTGGCCAGGCTTCTGGTTCGTGGTCAGCCACGTACTGTAGCGACCTTGGGCACATCACTCAACCTCTTTGACCTCAGTTTTGTTGCCCATAATTGGTTTAGATGTTATCCAAGATCTCTTCCAGCTCTAATATTCTATTAAAAACCTTAAGTTACATGAGTACATGTGGTTCAAGGAGAGTATAAACGAAGGAGGAAAAAACACATTTGAGATGAAGTAAAATCACAACACAAACTATCAGAGGTTAATAATAATAGTGGAAGCTCACATAGCTTACCATGCACAAGAACATGTTCTAAATGCTTTAAATACATTAATTCATTTCATCATCACAATAACGCTATGATGTAAGCACTAATATCATGTTAGTCCATACAGACGTGAAAACCGAGGCAGAAAGGTGAAGCAGCTTGTCTCCTGGTATGGAGGAGTTAATACTGGAACCCAGACAGTCTGACTCTCAGGCCCGAGCTCCTACTAATCACTGATGTTCACATGGATAGCCCCCCAATTCAGTAGGGCCTCAAATCAAAGAAAGCTTAAATTGTACTGACCCTAATACATATCCAGAAGATCTTTTATTGAGTTATAATTTGCACACAACAAAATGTATCCATTTTAATTACACAACTCAATGAGTTTTGATAAATATATATGTCCTATAACCACCACCACCATCATGATCTACAGCATTTCCATCACCCCAAAATTTCCCTCGTGCCCCCAAAAAGTTATGCCATCTATAGTTATGCCCTCTATGACTTTCCCAAGTCCCTGATAACCACTGATCTGCTTTCTGTCAACGAGAGAGAGAAAGAGACAGAGAAAAGAAAGAAAAAAAAAGAACGAATCCACCTTGGACTGTTTTAAATGACAACAAAAGCAAAAAGACAAAGAGACAACAAAAATTGAGTTATAAAGGAGGAGCTGCTGGCAGGAGAACCCAGTCCACTAGTCCACTTGGAGGGGAAAAGAAAGTGAACAGCCTCTTCATGCACAGCAAAAGCACTCAAGGAATCAGGCGTTAGCCAAGTCCTTCTCTTTGCCAGGAGAAACTCTGGGCTGTTAACAGTTAGAACCCACGGATAGAGTACTTGCCACACCTTGGACAAAGTGCTCAGTACTTTAAAAGCACTGCCTCACTTAATCCTTACAAAATCTCAAAATGAGTTGGTGCTTTTATTAGGTACATTTTCAGAGGAGAGTGCAGAGAAGGGTTGACCACGGGCCCAAAGCCACACAGTCAGTACATGAGGGGGCCAGGATGTGAGCCCTGAGCTGTTCCACTCTGGAGCCCTCCTAGGTCCTAACCACACACTATCCTGCTTAGGACTTGGCTAAAAGAGCACTGGATGTAAATAAATGAGGAAGGCTTGTTTGTAATCCAGAGGTCTCTGATAATACTCTTGAAATGATGCAGGATTGGGAGACCCCTGATGAGATTTCTCACCCCCACACAGCCCCACCTGCGGTCCCAGGAGGCTCTAGGGCACGCTCAGAAGCCAAGGTGGGTCTTAACCTCCAGATGGAAACTTCTCCGCCTCCAGTTCTGGGCTGGAAAGCTGACATCTCTTGGCTGCATGACGAGCAGCAATCTGTGTCTTTCTTGGTTTTCCCTAGCCCATGTTTTCTATCACAGCTCAGAACGGACAATACATAAAACTGCTTGTTTGTTTAGGTCTTGATTTTTACTACCAAAAGCAAAGCATGAAGGTGAGCAAACTGCCCTCCCAGCCCAAATGAAGGAAGTGTTAGATTAATTCACACCCAGGGGCAATTATGGTCGATCTGTCCACTTCTGCTGGAGTCACTTGGATTAAGAAATGTCGCTGAGGTGTATACATATGGTAACACTTATCAAATTGTATACTCAAAATAACTGCAGTTTATTGTATGCAAATTATATCACAATAAAGGGAAAGGGGACCATTGTAAAGATTAGGACACAGTACATGTACATCGTATGGCGTAGTTCTTGATATATCAACAATGATGGTGATGATGGTGATGATGATAATTTATGACAAAGCTTTGGCACTCACCTAGGTTCAAAAAATAAAAAATAAAATGTCACTAGAGGCTTTGAAGCATGTGGGAAATCTGAGTAAACTGCCCAGTTTCATGGATTTCACAAAAAAAAAAATCTGAGCTTAGAATGACTTACCAGAGCTCATGGTGGTATAGCAGGACAAGTCTTCTGCAACCGGGCTCTGAATTTCTCTGCAGAAAAACAAATACCACACAACGGAATTGATAAACAGCAGGTTCAAGACAAATCCCTATGGTTAGTATTAAAAATGCAAACTCTGTAACCCTTGATAAAACAGCCGAACCGGGAATCGCTTGGCCAGGCTTCTGGTTCGTGGTCAGCCACGTACTGTAGCGACCTTGGGCACATCACTCAACCTCTTTGACCTCAGTTTTGTTGCCCATAATTGGTTTAGATGTTATCCAAGATCTCTTCCAGCTCTAATATTCTATTAAAAACCTTAAGTTACATGAGTACATGTGGTTCAAGGAGAGTATAAACGAAGGAGGAAAAAACACATTTGAGATGAAGTAAAATCACAACACAAACTATCAGAGGTTAATAATAATAGTGGAAGCTCACATAGCTTACTATGCACAAGAACATGTTCTAAATGCTTTAAATACATTAATTCATTTCATCATCACAATAACGCTATGATGTAAGCACTAATATCATGTTAGTCCATACAGACGTGAAAACCGAGGCAGAAAGGTGAAGCAGCTTGTCTCCTGGTATGGAGGAGTTAATACTGGAACCCAGACAGTCTGACTCTCAGGCCCGAGCTCCTACTAATCACTGATGTTCACATGGATAGCCCCCCAATTCAGTAGGGCCTCAAATCAAAGAAAGCTTAAATTGTACTGACCCTAATACATATCCAGAAGATCTTTTATTGAGTTATAATTTGCACACAACAAAATGTATCCATTTTAATTATACAACTCAATGAGTTTTGATAAATATATATGTCCTATAACCACCACCACCATCATGATCTACAGCATTTCCATCACCCCAAAATTTCCCTCGTGCCCCCAAAAAGTTATGCCATCTATAGTTATGCCCTCTATGACTTTCCCAAGTCCCTGATAACCACTGATCTGCTTTCTGTCACTATGGTTTTACCTCTTCTAGAATTTTATATAAATGGTATTATAAGATATAATACCATTTATCTTTTGTGCCTAGTTTCTCTCCTTTAGATAACACTTTGAAAAATAGCTGGCTATATATGTGTGGGTCTGTTTTTGAACTCTATTCTGTTCTATTGAACTGTCTTTATCAAATAACTAGTGTGAGTATTCCAAATTCATTTTTCAAAATCACTTTAGCTATTTTAGGTCCTTTGCATTTTCATGTAAAGTTTAAAATCACCTAATCAATTTTTACCAAAAAAGAAGAAAAGTCTGTTGGAGTTCTGATTGGGATCATGTTGAACCTATAAGTCAATCTGGGAGAAACCAACATTTTAACAACATTGAGTCTTTCAATTCACAAGTATGGGCTATCTCTCACTTTATCCAGATCTTCTTTAATTTCTCTTGACAATGTTTTGACTATTTAATACTTTTCAAAGTACAGGTATTATACACAATTTGAATAAATAGCAAGGTCTTACTGAACACATCTGAAGGTCACACAATCCGAAAAGCAAGTCCTCAGAATACATAGACCCATGATATTTGAAGTATGGTCTGCAGACCAGCAGCACTGACATTAGCTGGTGCTTATGAAAAATGCAGAATCTCAGATTCCACTCGCTACCTACTGAATCAGAATCTGCATTTTAACAAGATCTCAGGTGCTCTCCTTGCACTTTAAAGTGTGAGAAGCGGGCTGGCCGGTTAGCTCAGTTAATCAGAGTGCTGCCTTGGAACACCAAGGTCAAGGGTTTGGACTCCCATACAATACTGGCCAGCCACCAAAACAATTAAAAAATGAAGTGTAAGAAGCAATGACATAGAAGAAATCCCTGGTTCATGAATTCTGTAATAGGAACATCAAGATACGACATGAGGGTCTGCATGATGAGACATACTTAGTTTCCTTTTTTTTTTTTTTAAACAAGCTGAAGTCAGCACTGGTTTCCTTCAGGGTGGTTGCTTTGCTTACTGTTTTTGGAATTAACAGAGTAGAATGCTAGGGCAAAAAGGAAATAATTCTATATCTTTCTCTGCATCCCAAATCAGCACTAACTTTGCCTCCGTCACTCTCAAATACACCTGAGACTATCTGTAATCTTCAGTTGCCCCCTCAGATTGTTCTCTAAGCTGTGGAAACATTTGTTTTCAGTCAAGGAACATACAACCTGCTGTGTTCGGTATGCCCTTATGTTTTCCAATCCTATCTTTATGATACCTCGGTTTGCCTCCCAGGACCAAAAGGGCAGTTATGATATCATCCAAGTGTTTTTATTTTATAAATAATTTTCTTGATCAATTTTATTATGGTAAGATTTTATTTACTCAATTTTTAAAGCACAATTGAAAAATCTTTTTGATTCGACTGTAATATTATTGTAACAGAAACTTTTTATTCCTTTACAGTCCTTTCTAATCTGTATATGCATAAATAGTATTTATATAGTTGTAAACATCTGGATTGCTTTGTATTCCAATTTTTTAATTAAATATTTCATGAACATCTTTCTGGGTTTTTACAGTCTGCATATCCATGATTTTAATGGCTGTATAATATTTCATTGTAACAACACTCCATAATTGATTTGCCAATTCCCTCTACAGTTTAGTTTAATTCATATTCATTTAAAAAATAAGTACAAAGCACACAGCATTCTTAGGCTGGGGAAGAAATAAATGGACATGTCTTATGAACCAAACAAAAAAAATCCTCAACTCATGAGTTATCACTGTCATATGTAGGGAGCCCTTTGCAGATTTTCTATTTCTCAGAATAAAAATTAAGTGTCAGCCCTCCTCGTACTTACAGAAAAAAAAAGAAATTAGACATTGTCGGGGATAATATTCAAAATACTTAACCATTATTTTGCCACCACTGTCCACCAAACTACTCAACTCATGAGTTATCACTGTCATATGTAGGGAGCCCTTTGCAGATTTTCTATTTCTCAGGATAAAAATTAAGTGTCAGCCCTCCTCGTACTTACAGAAAAAAAAGAAATTAGACATTGTCGGGGATAATATTCAAAATACTTAACCATTATTTTGCCACCACTGTCCACCAAACTGGAGTAGATGCCAGATGTAGCACTCTCTGGAAGGCCCTCCCTGTGGCTGGTGTTAACTGTTTAGTGGCTGGATAGTGATGGGATGGAGGAATATATCCAGGGTGGTATGAAAGTATTTTAATATTTTAAGAACAAGTATAACAATAGTAGGTGACAATGACAATACAGCTCTGCACACAAAGGTTTTTGGGGTAGTAAGTTCTGTTGCATGCTCTCATTTGGTGACTGAATCTGCAGCAGGTGACACAAAGAAGCAGGGGCAGTTTAAAATACAATAAAAACTGCAGCAGTGGCAGCTATGCCAACGACAGTGCCTAGTGTCCAGTCTTTACTCGTGGTTGCAACAGCAGCAAGAACCTATTCAGACTATTCCAGGGCCTGATTCTGGATCTGATTCCAGCCAACTCAGCCTCTTTGAATTCCTGCCCCAGTCCTGAGTGCAGTTCTCTAGCTTTCCATAAACTCTGAACTGCCCAAGATCTTGCCAATAAATCCCTTCTTGTTTGAGTTCACCAGAGGTGGTTTCTGGTTATTTGCAACCCAAGAACTGTGACCAGCACAAGATGGGAAGGTGCAATCCCAAGTTTCCATCTGAAGAGGAGAATCTTCGTTCCTCTCTCCTGAAGTGAGGCTGGCCAGAACTGAATCCCAAGTGGCTCAGCAATGGTTTTGTCCTACAACCTGAACAGCCCCAAGTCCAGGCAGCAAGGATGTGTCTAGGAAGATGCACAAACTGACCCTGACCAGAAGAACTCTAAATGCTTTGAAAGTCATAATCCATTCCCTGCTGTTTATTTAGAGACAATACAGGCTATTACAATCACACGTAGAACTTGAGTTTATTTTACATAAAAACCTCCGACACTTAATATTTATTTAAAAACTAAGCTGTAAAGAGCTTAATTTCATTGAGAACATGATGGCACAGCTTTTGAATGTCTCCTGCAAAGGAGCCAGGCACAAAGCCAAAACGATAAACAGTGTCATCTAGTGGCAAAACCAGACAACTGCAAGAGGGCAGTTATTCCCCTAGTGGGTTGCAGGAAGCTATACAGTGTCACAGCTTGAGTGGGCCAGCGAGGATCAAGCCACCATTCCATGCCTTGAGCTGTCGGTACCTACCAAACTTAGTCAAAGTACCACAGCATCAACACAGACATTCCACCGGAAGAACAAGATGTGACGTAGCCAGAGTTGTTAAGAATACATCCAGATAATTAGTGGTTCTGCATGGTCCTTCCCTAATTCCACGACCTTATAATTCTAAGATTAAGTTTTGATGACAAAGAGTGAATAATTACTAAAAAGCAGAAGTTATACACATGCTTCCAGCTGAAATAGGGTAACTCAGCTGAAATAACTCAACACGGGTTGTTTACTGGGAAAGCAAAGAAGGTCCTTATATGGATAGTTTGAGGAGGTACAAAACTAGGGAGAAATTGAATTTGTAACGATGAATTCAAGGACCAGCAAAGGTTCTTGGAAGATAATGAGCTCTTGGTTAAACCTTGCACACAACATGCTCCAGATTCTATGCACTATGGTGTTTTGCTTCCATAGGTCCTCTCTGTCCCCAACATTAGATTGTAAATTTCTGGAAGGGAAGGACTATGTCATCCTCCGCACTGAGCATGCCGTCAGTGGGTGGTCAGTCATGGACTGTGCCCTTGTCTCTATTTAGCCATGTAAACCTAACTCTGGAGTCTTATCTTCAAGGTAATGAAGACCCTCCTTAACTCCACTGTACCTACTTTAAAAGGAAGCTAGCTCCCCACTCAGACAAAACACCGATTATACTCTAGCTTTGAAATCTAATCCGGGACTTCACATATTTGCAGCTACTTCCAATGGCCTGAAAAGAACAGAGACAGCTCACAAAGCCCCAGAATAAATGCTTGGCCTTATTTCTTTGTACTTTGCTGATCCACCAGCAGAGCTACGTTTCTCCAATTTTTCAGCAGCTCCTTTTCCCAATCTCTA